ACGAGTGTCACCGCAGTGTCACCACGAGTGTCACCACGAGTGTCACCGCGAGTGTCACCGTGAGTGTCACCACGAGTGTCACCGTGAGCGTCACCGCGAGTGTCACCACGAGTGTCACCGCAGTGTCACCACGAGTGTCACCACGAGTGTCACCGCAGTGTCACCGTGAGTGTCACCACGAGTGTCACCACGAGTGTCACCGCGAGTGTCACCACGAGTGTCACCACGAGTGTCACCGCAGTGTCACCACGAGTGTCACCGCAGTGTCACCACGAGTGTCACCGCGAGTGTCACCACGAGTGTCACCGCGAGTGTCACCGCGAGTGTCACCGCGAGTGTCACCGCAGTGTCACCGCGAGTGTCACCACGAGTGTCACCGCGAGTGTCACCACGAGTGTCACCACGAGTGTCACCACGAGTGTCACCGCGAGTGTCACCGCGAGTGTCACCGCAGTGTCACCGCGAGTGTCACCGCGAGTGTCACCGCGAGTGTCACCGCGAGCGTCACCGCGAGTGTCACCACGAGTGTCACCGCAGTGTCACCGCGAGTGTCACCGTGAGCGTCACCGCGAGTGTCACCGCGAGTGTCACCGCAGCGCCCGCCCCAATTAATCTCTGGTTCCAGTACGCACGCGGTGGCTTGGAGGCTCGTTTATCTCGTTCCACCCCAAGGCAGCGGTGAGGTTTCCGCGCGCGGCTGTGGTGTGCGCACCCCACCGCCATCCGCGTGTAATTACGCACCGCTAATCGCTGTTCGAATGAGAATCTTCGTGGTGGAATGAAGCCATAACCCCGTAAATCTTTATTTAGTCTTCCGGCTGGGAGGGAGCGGGGGGAGGGGACATATTCTATGGGGGAATTTTTTTTTTGGATGACTTTTCACAATCTTTTCTATTATAAACGCCCGGCGTTGCGTTTTTTTCCGTTTTTCCGGCAACTGAATTATGAGAGCCTTTCAGAAGGCCTGGATCAAAAAGTTGTGTGGGTAAAGAGTTGTCAAACCCCCCCCCCTCCTCCCCCCCAAAAAAGAAATGTATTTTGTAGGCATATCTACCTACACGCCCTACATACAATAGACTCGGTAGTATCTGCACACATTGGGGGGGGGGGCAACGGCCTAAATTCTAGTAGGGACAAAACTGTCACCTTTCCTTCTCTTGTATTGCTCTAGCGGGCGGGGTGTATTGATGCGTACATGAATTGTCTAACATCAATTGTCATGCTCGCGATACACGGATCGAATTATGCACGTAATAAGCAATGTTTATTGATTTTAATATTTAGTGTGTAATGGGGTGATGTAACCCCTGCGGCTACCACAGGCTAATAAAATCACCGCAAATAATGTTTTTTTCATTTGAATTGTGACCCATAATTGCGATGTCTGCTGTGTAGACATACTTTACTTCTAACTGGGCAAGTGCTCTTGTGATTTAAAAGTCTTCCTCGTGTCAATGTGGATCAGGGGTACTTATCTACGCTGCCGTACGACGTGCCTTTAACGACGTACGACCCATAATGTAGCAAACCGTGCTCCGTTTAATTTTGCCTACGGCCAGGAAAACCCCCCGAGATTGTGCCCAGTCTCAACATATCTTGGAAGCTGAGCGGGGTTTTGAGCCTGGTTAGAGATCGGATGGGTGGCCACGATGACTTGCCGGCTGTTGCGAGCGTGGGGTTGCGTTGTGGCCAGCGTATGGCACTGTGGAGCGTCATCCCCTCCTGTGAGTGGCCTGTTGCCCGGCTTCTCCGGGTCCCCCGCCATTTGGAATTGGCCAGACATCCCAATGCCCCCCCCCCAACCCCCCGTGACCTTCTGAGAAAGTCGCGAGATTCCACAGTGCTTTAACGGTGAAACGAAATGGCACGGTCGTTATAATTAGTGGAACATAAAATGAAATATAAACTGTAACGTGATGCATCGAACACAGATCCCGAATTGGATGCGGCGAGAGGGCCGAAATGTCAGGTTCAATTGAGCCCGCTCGAATGCCGCTTTGGCCTGTCTTGTAGGCTGGGGCCAGGTGGAGCCGAGACCCATTTGTACCACGTTATTGTGGTCTGGCATGCAGCAAATTGGTTTACTGCCGTGCGTTAAGCTCCCCTGCACAAACCTCCTCTCTCTCTCTTTGTGCTCTGAAGCAACTCTTTCTTCTTTTCTCCCATTGCTCAGATGTACTGTAACTCGACACATTTGTCAATAACACTGCCCCTAAGACTAGGATAATGAATATATAGTTCGGCGACATTTCGGGCAACAGCCCTTCTTCATCGCAGGGCCGATTAGGAATCGTCCCCTCTTTTTGCTTCTTTTCCCAATTTTACTCTAAAATCGAGTTAAAGTGGACCTTTTTGACTTGTTAAGAATTGATCTGTTGCTGATAACTATCTATGAATGGGTGACTATCCCCGTATATGTATCTATTCATTTAGAAATATATTAAAAAATACTTATTTATCGGGGCCCCATAGTGTGCATATTGTAGTCCATTATTATAATTCACTCGAATTTATGGTGTGTCCATCTCTGTGGAATTAAGGAGGGCTATGTATGTTCGTATCGTACGCAGCCAACCGTGCTAATCGGAGGTGCGGGGGAATTGACAACAAACTAAACATAAAAAGCAGTCGTCAAGAAATGAGTTTGTCAATTGGAAGGAAGATTGTTCCAGACGGCCGCCGGAGCGCATCTGCAAGCGCGCGGCGTTGCAGTGACCACAGTCGTTGTTTGATGGTCAGCCAAAAGCCTCTGCTGCAAGCGTGGACCGTGTTACCGGCGAGCTCGCTGCGCTTTGGTGACTTGGGTGCCCTGTCGCTTGCGCTTTGCGAGCTGCCTTCACCAGCGCCGCTGTTTGCGGGCCGGCCTCCCGCTGGCACCGGGGGAGCATTCCTGCCGACTTGTCGCTGCACGCCGTCGGCATTTGTGGGCTTGACACAGTTCAGGGTTTGTCTCAGCACTGACAGCGGCGGCGAGAATTTATGATTCGTAAAAATGCAAACAAAATATGAACGCCCGATTGTTTGGCAGTAATGATGGCAATTATTTTCGTGGGAAAGCCTCGCCGAGTCTTAAGACCCTGGGGGGGGGGGGGGGGGGGGTTACCTGGAGGGTACCCGGAGGATACCCACTATGCACGTGAGGAGGTGGTATCTCCCGGGCACCGCATAGCCCCTCAGCTCCGTCGCCCTATTGGCGTCAAGCTGTGAGACAAAGTGCCCGTCCGAAAACGCTCGTGAAGCGGCGCATCTTCCCGTCCTGTAAAATGAGCCGTGGACGCAAGATGTCGCGGAGCTGCCTTGGGGCGGCAGGCAGGGTGGCGGTGGCACAGTGGTTGTGCTCGAGCCTCGCAGCAAGAAGCGCCGGGGTTCAATTCACGACTCGAGCACCTTTCTGCGTGGAGCGTGTATGTACTCCCCCTGGTGTTTATGCATTGGTTATCGGACTCTCTCCCACAGCATACAATGTTGGCCAGACTTTCCCAAAGTCTAAAATCTCCACGGCGCATTGCCTCAATTGGGATTACGCGCAGCAACATCGCTCCCCTGCTGCCGAAACTTGGTGGGGACCCTCTTGAAAAAGTCTTGAGTGAGGCTCTCTCTTGGGTAGTAATAAAAAAAAAGCGTGACGTAATAATATAAGATTGCTTTAAGTGACCTTTTACAATCCATACACCAACTTTCCCACGCGCCCTGCTGCGTAGAAATGTCCGCCGCGCTATGCCCCCCTCGCGTTTCGAGATCGTCCGCGGTGTTTGGCCGTGCGCCGGTGACGACGCGTGGACAACGGAGAAAGTGAAGGGGCGTCGTGTCAGGCTGCTCAACGGAGCGTCGCTGTTTGTTACCTGCGCTACAGTTGCGTTTACTCTGAAGCTTCACCACAAAAGCGAAGCGTGTTGTGTTAGGGCTGCGTGCAGGGCTTGCACCCCCCCCCCCCCCTCCTCCTCCTCTCGCTCGCGGATGCGAATAATAATAATCCCTGCCAATCTGTACGGGGCGCGTGATGCGTGCCACGCTGGGGGGGTCGCGTCACTCAACCCCCGGGGCAGTTTTAGTTCGCCGGCCGTCCCATGGCACCTGCGTGTTTTGCAGGTGTGTCTCCACCACAGGTAAACGCGTGCGTTGCGGTGCGACCCTTTTTGAGTGGCGCACCTCGGCAAATTTGTATATATATATATTTTTTTAAACTCGCATTTGATGCCGATGATATTTTCAACGAAGGTGGACAGTGGGCCCTCGTGTTGTCTACGGCTGGGATTGAAACTGACTGCCACTCGTGACATCTCCACGATATTATTCACACGAACGTAACTGAACAAGCTTCTGCTGATCTATTGACGAATGTGGTAAACATCTCCGCTGTTGGTGTGCGTGTGTATATTTTGTTTGTATATTGTTGTGTGTGCGCACGACGTGTTTAACCACCCATAGAAGTGGCAGTTGTCTTCTTGAACAGGTGACTGCCATTCCATCTACAGACTCTTCCGTCGGGCATTATCCATTCTCGTGATGTTGTGTTCCCATGCTCTCCCATGCGCAATCCTGCTTAGCTGCTGAGATCTGATGAGATCAAGTGCAGTGATATCGGTCGCGAAAACCTGCGTGTTAAACATATTTAATGCCGTATATATTTAACGTTCCAGCTCTGGCTATATGTATGTGTTGAACTTCTTTCGCACCGTACGTAGCCAACCGTGCTAATTGGAGCTGTGCGGGGGAAGGACAACAAACTTAAGACCGGCTTCGCATAATTCGCCGTGTCTCACGTCCCCGCCCCCAGGTCTCCCGTTCGGCTGTGAGCGAGCGACGAGGTGACTGACACCGCGACGCTCCTCCGCCGTGGACGAACACGAAGGCTCCGGCCCAGGGCGACCGCGACTCCCACCCCCCCCCCTCATCCCCCCCTGCCCCCCCCCATCCCCCCACCCCCCCGGCCCTGCGCCGCCCGCGATGGCTCAGGCCCCGCCGATGAACCACGACCTCCCGGGTGAGCACGGGAGCGGCATTGCCGCACGACACAACGCAAGAGGGCCCTGCCTGGCATTGGGCAGGGAGGTGTGAAACTGCGGGGCTGTACAGCACGTCGCCGTCAGGATGTTTCTTGATGTCGTATGGAGGAACGGCAACATTTTACAGTCCCATGTTAAGTCCTGATGTCCGTTCAAGCGCTTCGGGAGATTTTTGTTCTGGGGAAACGAGTCAACGTGGACGGTTGCTCACTAGTTGCTCCGTTGATCGTTTTATGAGTAAAAGTACACGTTGTACGTGTGTGTGTGTGCATGTCTGAGTGAAGGTGTAAAAGCCGCACGATGGTGGGGTGGAGAAAGCGTACAGCCCTTTCGTTAATCCACTGCTGGAATGGTGGGCCTCCTCATGCAGTGCTAGTTGGTGGGGATTGTTTGACCTTACTTTACTACTACGCTGGTCGGTCTGGGTTCGCAATTAGACGGTTTGCACAGACGTGGGAGCAGAGTGCATTACTACAAATGTCGCTCCAGCCCTTGCTGAGGCTCCGAGATCCAATGAGCTTTGGGCACATTCCGGGTGATTTTGGTCACTGGTGATGATAATAATGATCATTATACCGGTCGTAATGCCGGCTGTTGTATTCGGACCCTGATTCAAGAGGGTCCTCCACCGTGTGTCGAGAGTTCAATGTTAATGTGCCATTCTATTGAGGGACTGCTGCCGTGTGGTGTTGTCGTGGTGTGGTCTGGGACTGTTGTTGTTGCTGCTGCCTTGCCCAAACTTGATAAATCAGTCTTTCTCTACTTTGCACTGTATTGTTCGCTGCTGTAACTCGCCAACCGCTCCTACTTGGACGTCAGTGAAAGAAAGAGCTTCGTAGCTCATTGGATTCCTCCTCCAGTCGAAACGAAGATTCCGATTTTGATCTGTTACGATGGCAACGGTGATGACGACGACGATGAAAGTGATTGAGATGGCAATGATGATAACGGTTGCGACGATGATGGTGACAGTGACGATGCTGATGACGATGACAATGTCGTTGGCGGTGGTGATGTTTTAGAGGGCGGGGCGACCGTTCCCACCAACGAGAACGAGGAGGAAGAGGCAGAGGAGCAGAGCGGCAGTTACTTCGTGGAGACCCCCTACGGGTTCCAGCTGGACCTCGATTTCCTCAAGTACGTCGACGACATCGAGAAGGGCAACACCATCAGGAAGATCTCCATCCAGAAAAAGGGCGCCAAGGCGCTGAGGAACGCCAGCAGCGCGTCGCTCAGGAGCTGGGGCACGCCGGGCGAGGCGTGGACCTCCTCCGAGTCGCTCTCCTCCTCGACGAGCGAGGAGAGCCGGCTGTCGCTGCGAGCGGGGAGCCTGCCGAAGCGGGCCGAGGCGGGCGACCGCGCTCCCGAGAGCTCTCCGGGATGCCCGCGGCTTGCCTCTCCCGTTCCGGCTCGGGCCGCCGAGACGGCGGCGGCGACGGCGGCGGCGACGGCGACGACGACGACGACGGCGGCGACGGCGACGACGACCGGGATGCCGGACCCCCCCGCGCTGTCCCCACGATCATTGTCCGGGCGGGACCTGCGCGTGGAGAAGACGCTCATAGAGACGAAGCTGAGGCTGGAGCGCGAGCAGAGGATCATTCGGAGCCAGGAGGAGCAGACGGTCACGTTTTGCAGCCACGTGACGACGACCGTCGCTGCACCTGCTCGGCAGCGGCAGCATGAGGACCATCAACAAGCCGCGAAGGTTTCGGGAGGATCGGACTCCCGGCCTGAGCCCTCTGACTTCACCAAACACGAGCAGGAGGAGCCTCAGCCGGAGCAGCTGTACACGGACCGCTCCACGGGCTCGGTGAGCTCCGAGTCGTCGGCGACCGAGGTGAGGTCGCGTAGCGAGGCGTCCTCGCTGGCGAACGGCCTCTCGGCTCACGGCGACGGCAGCGCGTCGCTCAGCCCCTCCGGCACGTCCACGCCGTCGCTGAGCGGCCTCAACCAGGCGCACCTGCAGACGATCCGTGAGCAGATGGTGCTGGCGCTGCGAAGGATGCGGGTGCTCGAGGACCAGGTGAAGGTCATCCCGAGCCTGCGCGACGAGATCGAGCGGCTCCGCGCGGAGAGGGGGCGGCTGCTCCGGGGAGCCGGCGAGCGGGCGGGCGACCGCGGGGAGCCCGGCGGGGCGTCGCGCGGCCGCTACGAGACGCTCGAGAATCTGGCGGAGAGGAGACAAGAGTGCACCGTGAACTTCGTGACCTCGACGCAGTACAACGCGGCGCAGTTTGCCGCGGACGCTCGGGGAGTGGCGGAGCCGACGCGGGAACTTCAGGCGGATTATTCGAGCGAGGGCGAGTTCCCCGACCCTCGCTGCGACGGCGACGAGGCGTGCGGCGAGGCGTCCGCCAGGTCGTCGCGAGCCAACGGGAGTCCGCAGCTGCTGACGTCGCCACATTCTGCGTGGGGCGCTCGCTCGAAGGTGTTGGTGCGAAGCGTAGGGGTCGGGGTTGCCGAGGGGCAGCTGCCCGGAGGGGCCGCCCCGTCCGCTTGGGAGCTCGAGTCCCAACAGGAGGCGGTCCGCGGGCTTCGGGAGAAGGTCCTCGTTCTGGAGAAGCAGCTGCGGGAGACGACGCACGAGCTGGACATGACGCGAATCAAGCTCGAGCTGTCGGGCGGTCCCGGGAAGAGCGTGGCCGAGCGAAACGTCCGAGTCCTCGCGGCCCAGACCGCGGGCGAGGCCGCCGGACCGCGGACAGAGCCGGCGAGGGCGGAGGCCGCTCCGTCGCGCCAATCTGTGTCGTGCCAAACGGAACACGTTGAAGGCGGCGGCGATGGAGCCGAGCCCAGCGCAGCGGCAATGGCTGCAGCGGCAGCGGCAGAGGCTGCGGCGGAGAGCGAGCGAGCGTTGAGGATTGAGCGGAGGAGCGTTGCCTGCGGGGAGTGCTCGGTGGACGTGCTTGCGGTGCCGCCGGGGGAGCGTGTGTCGCGCGGGACGATGACGGACGCCGTCGGCAAGGCGGACGCCGTGACGATGGCCTCCCCGAGCACGGAGAGCCGGGGAGCGGGCAACGACCACCCGGAGAGGAGCGACCGATGCGTGGGCACCACCGCGCCGTGCCTGGCGGAGGCGTCCACCTCCGCCGCCGTCTCCTGCCGCGACGCCCAGAATGGCACGGTGGCCGTGGAGGTCAGGACGGTGTCTGTGGGGAATTGTGAGCGCTACGAGGACACGCGCCGCTCGGTGGGCGTGAACACGGCCGGCGTCGGTGCCGCGATCCGGCCCAGCTGCAGGGAGGCCGCCGTCGGCTCCGTCGATTTCTCCGAGAACTTTTTGGTCGGCGCAGAGGTGAGGAGCGTTTCCTGCGACACGGAGGAGCTGGAGAACGAGGCGGAGGGAAACGAAGGTAGGTTGACGCGGACTGCGACTCAAAATGACATTCGCCACTCCCGAAAGCTTTCCCTTTTTTTTGTTTTGTTTATCAGGCCGGGTCTCGAATCGGGGACGGAGACGATTTCTGTTTGCGGCTGAAGGCGCGGCGTGTGATTCCGCGGGGGCGCGCGCGCGCAGGGTCGGAGGTCGCGGGGGGCGCGGAGCTGTCTCGCTACATCGAGCACGTGCAGCGCCTCCTGCACGAGCAGCAGGCGCTGCTCGCCGACAACTACGCCGAGCTGGCGGACGCCTTCGCCGAGCCGGCCACCGAGCTGGGCTCGCTCAGCTCGCGCCTGCTCACGACCGTCACCGCGCTCTCCTCGCTGCAGCGGCCGCCCGCGACGCCGCCCGTCGCCCCGGGTATGGGCCGCCCGCTCGCATCCCCCCGCTGACCTCTGCGTAGCCCATGTGGGCCCTCTGTGCCCTCCGTGCCCACGTGTGGTTACTTTCTTGGTTTGTCTCTACTACTACTAATGTGTTGCCACATCACTGTTGTGTATTGTGAACTGCCATGGAGCCGTGGTGTATTGGTTGGTGGACTAACCTCCCTTTTCTGAGTTTGATTCCTTGCGACGGCAAACATCACTGCCGAGTAAACTAAGACCACAAACAGTGTGGAACCGTAAACTATTTTTTATTTTACCACTGAACTGTATCACACTTTTTCAGACGCGACCTGGCCACAATTGATGGCTCAACGTAGTGGCCTATCATGTGGAAATGTATAGCAGCCAAATGCTCGAAACGCATGTTAATTCTAAATGTCAAGGAAAAAAAACCGGTGGACCCAGAGAAACATCCACGTGACCACTGAGAGAACATACACACTCCAAATATACAGGCATCGTCAGGGTCAGGATAGAACCCACGACCTGTATACAAGGTGAGGTAGTTACCATCTCGCCACCTTGCCTAGATGATCATCCACAGTTAGCCTCAATGAGTTTCCTCCTACCGCCTGGTGTATGAATGGGAAAAAAAGTAATCGTTAAATGAATTTCTATATTTTAAACGTGTGACTCCGCGCGTCTGTCTCATTGTGTACCCGCTTATAGACGCGGCTGAGGGTGGGAAACCGGACCCCGGCGACGTGACCCACCGGGGGCCCTCCGAGTCGGCCAGCGACGACGTGTTCGAGACGGAAGGGCAGGCGGCCCAACCGGCAGCGGAGGAGGAAGCGGAGCAGCGGAGCAGGGGTCACGTCAACGCACACTTTCTGTCGCCTGTGCAGGTTGCTTCCGTGTCGGGTACGTCACAATGCTCCACCGTGCACACACCACCCATCGCGTGCCGTGCAGCCCTTAACCGTTTCCCGTTCCAAATGACGTAGGTGGACGTCATCGGTTTCTCTTCCGATGATGTATGTGCACGACATCAGAACGGAGCCGGGGGAAAAAACCCAAAATAAAATAACTTCAGGGCGTCTGTCACAGTTTGGCGCCAGCTATCGTAGAGTGTGGTCGTGTCGCTACGGTTCTCTGCGGTGATTACAATGTCTTTAAAAACAAAGGCGCTATGGCTCTCTTTATGAAATTATAACGCTGAACCGTTTGCGCGTTCCGAGATTCAGCGGTGAACGGGACACCAACCCTGCAACTTGCAGACGTCTTGGAAGGGGAAAGGGTTAATACGGGCTCACTTACTGCACTATATGTCCTTCCCCCCCAGCCATCCAATTGCTTCCGACTGCCCGGGCCAATTCCGCTGTAGACTTCTGCCAATGACCGACCCCTGGAATATAAAAATGGGTGCATCTCCCTATTTTATTCGCGGTTTCCTGCAACAACGCATGGCCCTACTCTTAGTGCAGCATCTTGAGATGCTCGTGATCGTTAATCTTCATCAGCCATGGTCTATCCACTACTGGATGAAGGCCTCCCCAAGCCGACGCAATCTCTCACGGTCCTGCCATGCAACAATCCGTGTCGCTCCTCTGCACGCGAGCTCATCTCGTCGCTCCATCTCCACGGTGGACGGACCTCCCTCCTCTGGCTTCCGCTCCACCGTTGGCCTCGACTAACGGCCACCCGTCCCTTCTGGCCACATGCCCTGCGATGATTTTTCTAACTTGCTGAATAAAATGTCGATGTCAATACAAATCATGCCGCACGTCCGATTGCGCTGTGAGCGATCGTGTGTGTGTGTGTGTGCGTGTGTGTGTGCGTGCGTGTGCGTGTGTGTGTGCGTGTGTGTGTGTGCGTGCGTGCGTGCGTGTGTGCGTGCGTGTGCGTGTGTGTGTGTGCGTGTGTGTGCCTGTGTGTGTGCCTGTGTGCGTGTGTGTGTGTGTGTGCGTGTGTGTGTGCGTGCGTGTGTGCGTGCGTGTGTGTGTGCGTGTGTGTGTGCGTGTGTGTGTGTGTGTGTGCGTGCGTGCGTGCGAGTGGTGCCTCGTGCCGTGTGCTCACCCTGCGCCCGCGTCCCCCGCAGACACGGGATCCTCGTCCGTGTCACCCACGCTCAAGTCCATCATGAAGAAGAAGGACGGCGCTGGCTCCACCGGCGGCGATCCCAGCAGCGGCACCAAGAAGAGCCTCCAGTTCGTGGGTGTCAACGGCGGGTGAGGGGACACTACCCAGCATCGTTACTAACGTCTCTCCCTCATTGTCATTTCTCCGTCTTCATTATTATCATCAACTTCAGCCATGGATCTCTCCATGGCTGAAGGCCTTTCAAAGCCGTCACCATCCATCTAGCGCCCCGCACGCGAGCCGATGTCATATCTGTCAACTCAGACGGTATTCTTGTACAGGGAAATTGAGTTTTTCAGGTCCATACGGCGCACGGCCGTTTCAGTACGGGCTTTGTAGGATGAACGTTGAGATTTATAAGGGCACGGGGTGAACAACAACGTTTGAATTTGCCTGTAATAAGGTAGGCACTGATAAGGAGTTGACAGGTATGCGATGTCAGCCGCTCATTGTCTGCGGTGGATTTCCCCGCGGGCATCTCTTCTCCTTTGGCTGCCACTCCGCCGTCAGCCTCTACCACTGCACATGCCCGACAGCGACGTGCCTCTGATCCACGTGTTCCTCTTCCCCTCCACGCTCGGTGTAATCCCAATCGGTGCTCCTCTCCGGGGTTGATTAAAAAAAAAAAGTTTGAGTACCACTTGAAGTGGGCCGGGTGGCCCAGGGGTCAGCGATGGCCAGCCGCGTGGAGTTCGGATCTGGGATTCAGCCGCTTGTGGTGAAACTGGAGTTCCAGTTGTAGCAAGTTGATGGGAGATATTTTTCGTTGTTTATTTGATTGCTTTGCAACACTCCTCGCAGGGGGTATTAATAAGCGGGCTCCCCCTAGCACGCGGGACGAGGTCTACCTAAGTGGCCTCGAAAATTGGTCCCACGACGTGATCCTTTGGGACCGTTCTTTGGCACAGGGGGGTGATGCGCACTGCAAGCCGCAGAGCGTTCAGTTTTTTCTTCTTTGGTTCTTTCGGTAAAGTCACGTAGAATGAGAATAAAATAATAAATTAATAAAATAACACAATAAAATTCTCACGACGTTCAGTGTCGCGTCTTTCACCTCATGCGACGATGTCGGTCGCTCAACCGGAATATATTTGGTAAAAAAAAAGATTTAAAAAAAAAAATGGGCGAACCATTTTGCCCGCGCTGGCACCAAGCGGCTGCCGATTTTATCGCTCGCCCGCTCGTCTCAGGTACGAGACGACGTCGAGCGAAGAGTCGAGCTCCGAGAGCTCATCCTCTGGATCGGAGGATGAGGACGATGACGATGACGAGGAGGAGGAGGAGGAGGAAGAAGAGGAGGACGACGATGAGGGGCTCGGGGAAGTCATCCACATGCAGCCCAATGGCGGAGCGGCGGGGAGGAGCGAGGCGGAGCGGCAAGACGGAGACGCGCAGGAGGTCGGAAGGGAAGAGCCGGTGGCTGAAGCCAAGCAAGAGGAGCAGGAGGCTCCGACGGAGAGGTGAGTCTAAAAGTCGGCCAAGCCCTGCGCTGCGCTATTGACAGAGCCAATGACGAGAGAGAGGGACGGTTCCTGTGGACTGTAGGGGATTCATTACTGGGACAATAAAAATATACCTCACTTTAGATTGCCACGGTAGAAACTGACTATCCTGAAGTATTTTTGTATTTTACCAGGTAAGACCCATTGAGCTATATATCGCTCTTTTTCAGAAGCGGCCGCAAATGATGGCTCAACGAAGTGGCTTGTCGCGTGGGAATTCATCGCAGCCAAATACTTTTTTCTGAGCAGTACGGAATTGTGACCGTCACTCGAGTTCACATTGCACCCCCTGGTGGCCAGGCTAGGAAAGGCACTGAGAGCGTGGGCTCTGAACCTTGCAGATTTTTGACTTTTTATTTTTTATACTCCGATGTCATTTTTTTCATTGTATTTCTGTCTGAGAACCAAAGTGGGGGGGGGGGGGGTACAGGCTGCAGTAAAGGTGAAGAACCACTGCCTTAAGTGAACCACTTGAAAGTCTGTTTGGGAATTCTGTCATTTTCCACGCAGAGCAGATGACCCACGTAGGTCCATCTTCGCTTTTGTGCTCGAGCAACAGCTGGCATCTCCACTGCTCTTTGATAATATCCCTTCTGTTGGTACGGAATTGACTTTCACCTGGTTTTAAATCATCCCATCTCTGTATATGTCCACATATCCGGCTCTATGCCTGCATTTGATTACTGCATGGCAGGACAAACGAGTAATGGTGACGACTTTGCAGGGAGGCTTTCATCCAGCAGCGGATTGATGATGATGTCCGTACTGTGTCGGAGAGAAGCATGTGTCTTCCCAATAAGCCTCGTAGTAGTGGGCTCACCGCGATCTCACCTATGTCATTGCAGGTACGAGATGAGCGAGAGCATGCACACAGCCTGCTCCACGCTCAAGGCTCACCTGGAGGATCACAAGTCCCTCAACACCAAGGACGTGGTGGTGGGTAGAAGTTTGTCTTCTTTTGTGAAAGTGAAAATTCAATATTGTTGATGTTGTATAACGACGTAGTGAGGGTTACCACGTGAACAATGCATGCAAATCTTTAAAACAAAACATGCCAATTTTTTTTGCCATGTTTTGTTTACGTGACAAACCTTACTAATTGGTTGTGTCGGGTGGTGGCGGGTTTAACGACACATTTACATTTACGAGATCTAACCCAAAAACCTCCATTATGATGTGACGTTGTTATTAACCCTTTCCCCTACCGAGACGACTGTAATTTGCAGGGTGGGTGTCCCGTTCAGCGCTGAATCTCGGAACGCGTGAGTGGTTCAGCGTTCACTTTATTTGGAAAGGCGTAGTAGCACCGTTGTTTTTAAAGACATCGTAGTCGCTGCAGAGAACCGCAGCAACACGACCGCACTCCACGATAGCTGTCGCCAAATTGTGCCGCACGCCCTCCTGCATGGCCTTGTGGGGGGGGGCCTTGTGGGAACCTCGGTGCCCATGAAGTTATTTCATTTCATTTTTTCTTTTCCGGTTCCGCTCCGAACAGAATCTGAACGGGAAAGGGTTAGTTTAAGATCATGATTTCTGTTCGTGTATTACTTGCTCATGTTCACATTGACACTGATGTGTCGGTTTTTTGACGTGCGCGGCGCAGTGCGTGTACCCTGTGCCCTCATGAGTTGGTAATCTGCTCAAGAGATGCTCACATGAATTTTGACACCGTGATGCTTGCTGTCTAGCCGCGTAACGGCGAGCTTACGCACCCCGCATTGGACGTGCGCACGCGCTGCTGCGATACGAACCCGGCGACCCGAGTTCGATTCCCGCTCACGGCCAACACCGGTGACGATCATCTGAACCGGTTCTGGGCCTCCCCTAGGTCGACTCAGCCCTAAATGAGTACCTGGCGCGGTTTTGTAAAAATCGCAACAGGGTGGGGACGGGCGGGTGGGTGGGTGGGTGGGTGGGGGGGGGGGTAGATCTGGTGCCGGCCAGCCACCCACCCCGCCGTGCGCCGTGCCGGCCTTGCTAGGTGCTACTCCCTAACAACCACTCGTGATGCAGCTCCGACAACCCAAAAACCTTTATTATGAATGAGAGCACTTGCCCCAAAAACGTTCCTCGAGGCTATACGGGGGGGGGGGGGGATCTTTGTCTCCGTGTGCGTGCGTGCTTGCGTGCGTGCCTGCGTGCCTGCGTGCCTGCGTGCATGCGTGCGTGCGTGCTCGCGTGCGTGCGTGCCTGCGTGCCTGCGTGCCTGCGTGCATGCGTGCGTGCGTGCGTGCGTGCGTGCGAGCAGCGCGCCAGCATGTCGGAGCTGCAGCACGAGTGGTTCCGCGTGTCGAGCCAGAAGGGGAGCGCGGCGCCGCTCGTGGGCGGCCTCCTCGCCGAGCTGCGCCGCCTCTCCCCGCCCGTGCTGCGCCTTGTCGCCAACATGGCCGATGGCAACGGCAACACGGCGCTGCACTACAGCGTGTCGCACTCCAACTTCGCCATCGTGCAGATGCTGCTGGGCACAGGTGGGCAGGGGGCGGGAGGCGAGGGGAGGGGGGCGTGGCTTGCGGGAGTGGCTGCCAACTGTTGGCCCGGTTGCCGGGCCCCCAATTTTCCAACGCGAGTTGGCTGAAGAGCGGTTGGGAGAATACACTGGCGGTGACTTGCTGTAGGTTGCGAGGTCTCGCTCCAGTTGGCTCTTGTTTCAGTGGCGATGCAATGAGCCCGCCGTTGCTCGCCACAGTCGCGCGTCTCCAAAGGAATACGTTGAGTGTTTAATAGCGGTCAGCCGTGGTTTTTACATCGGTCCTATTTAATTTTAATGTTAACGTTAAACACGCCTTGCAAAGGCTGAAATGTTCGGGAAACATTGTCCACAGAGTAGGTCACATTACTTACTTGAGTGTGCTTTGTCGTACAGAGTCGAGCCAGGGCTCACTCCAACGGGAAGGAACCCTAGAGACACGTGGTATTAGACGATGAGCCCACCCGAACTTGTGCCCTTCGAGTTGGGTCAAAACACACGTGGCATCTAAATGTTTGCCGTGCTCATCGCGACGAGCAGTGGCGCCACCTGGCGGACAGAGTGTGCTATTGCACTTGATCTTAAACGTGAATGGGTGGTGGACGTGTGTACAGTAAAACCTTGGATTGCGAGCATAATTAGTTCCGGAAACGTGTTTGTAATCTAAAACAGTCGTATATCAAAGCACTCGTCTATCAGTTGTGATCACGTGACGCTCGGCAGACAAAGCGTACACGTACTACTCGTATTGCAAGACCCTCGCTCATTTATCAAATAAATATTTATTTTAATTTTTTGCTCGTCTTGCAAAACACTCGCAGACCAAGTTACTCGCAATCCAAGGTTTTAACTGTATGTTAAACTTCTTTCGCACCGTACGTAGTCAACCGTGCTTATCGGAGGTGCAAGGACGAAGCCTAACGAGGCTTCAGGTCAAGTCGCATAGCTGTAAACCCCCTATCAGTGCCCTACCTTATTACAGACCAATTCAAACCTCATCAGTCACCCCATGACCTCATGAATCTCAACGTTCACTATAAAGTCCCCATCACAAAGGAGAAGCACAAATAGATACAAACAAAATGTTGCCCGTATTGAAACGGCTGTATGCCGTATGGATATGAAAACTCAATTTCCCTGTACAAAAATACGGGTATACCGTATGGGTTGACAGCTTTGCAATCGCACGAATGCAGCATGAACATGGACCATGGTTAAGAAGGGAAAATACACACCTTGTATTATAGATCTGGCTTGTACCTACCTGCCTGTTAAAATAAATGAAATGCGTGTACATTTAATATGTAGCTCGATGCCATCCGCTGCTGGATGAAGGCCTGCCCACACCGTCTCGTCACAACTTTTTTTTAGCCATACTTCACCACACTGGTCACTGGCGGTTACCCAATACCAGTTAACATATCACTTGCCACAGATGTTAGCTGTGGCCGGGATTCAACCTCAGGTGTCCGGGTTCGTAGGGCAGTGTGCTAACCACTGCCCCATCGCCCCATGAACGTAACTACACTGTGGAAATGGAGCCGGCGTGTCATGCGGCGGAGCTGAGGACCCCACGGGAATCGCACGCTCGCCCCTCTCGGCTTTCAGTGTCGGCGAGTTTTATTTCTCTTTCTCACTGTTGCCGGGTACAGGCCCAGTGGGTCACAAAAGCCAATCGGGCCGCCATCAAACGGCACTAGCGAGGGCATAACGCTTCTTGTACGTATGCCGAATTTCTTTCGCACACCGCACATAGCCCACCGCGCTAGTCGGAGGCGCGGGGGCAAGGCTGACGAACTGAACACAAAAAAAGCAGCTCGAAAGAAACGAGTTCTCAATTCAGGTTTACAAGAGCACAGCTCCCTAATACCATGACTGGCGCCCTCCCCCGCGCCCCAGGCGAGTGCAACGTGGACGCGCAGAACAAGGCCGGCTACACGGCAATCATGCTGGCGTCGCTCGCCGCCATCAACTCGGAGCGCGACATGGCCGTCGTGCAGAAGCTGCTGAGCCTGGGCGACGTCAATGCTCGTGCCAGCCAGGTGAGAGTGCGTGCCCACCGCCGATCCCGCCAGCGTGTTCACAGGCTGCGTGGCCGCGTTGTCGTCCGCCAGGGTACGTTCGCGACCACGTCGCTCCTTGTGCCGTGGGAGGCAGTTTGCGGGGGCGCCGCGTTGGCGAGATGTTAGCTACCTCGCACTGGTATGCAGGAGGGACTTGGGTTTGAGCCCGACCCAGACGCCTGCTGTATATATGGAGTGTGCGTGTTCTATCCCCGTGGTCACGTGGATTTTTTTCGGGGTCCTCCCGTTTTTCCCTCCACAGTTAGAAACATGCGTTCAGACTATTTGGCTGCTATACATTTCCACATAAGCCACTTTGTTGAGCTATCATTTGTGGCCAGGTCGCTTCTGAAAAAAGAGCTATATTGCTCAGTGGGCCTTACCTGGCAAAATAAAAAGTAGCAACATTAAATAGTAAAATGTCAAGCGTGAAATTGGCTCGTGCGTAAGAACTGCACGGATCGTTGCACTGCAGGATCCGCGATTGCATTGACTGCTGGCGGATGCCTTCCTGTAGTAGTGAATTGATCATGGCTGTCTGATGATGATGATGATGAAGATGATGACGATGATGACGACGTTCGTCGTGACGGCGATTGTGCCGCAGGCGGGCCAGACGGCGCTGATGCTGGCCGTGAGCCACGGCCGCAAGGACATGGTGCGAGCGCTGCTCGCGTGCGGCGCCGACGTGAACGTCCAGGACGACGACGGCTCGACAGCGCTCATGTGCGCCAGTGAGCACGGCCACGTGGACATCGTCCGCCTGCTGCTCGCCCAGGCGGGCTGCAACGCGGCCATCGCCGACAATGTGAGGCCCTCGCGAGGCCGCGACCGTTTGGGCGGCTCTCTCTCTCTCTCTCCTCTCTCTCTCGCCTCCCTCCTCCGCTCACTTGGGGGCGAACGTTAATGCTCATCGTGATATACGTGCCGTCTGCTTGACAGCGGATGTCAAAGATCCTATGGCATGTCGTTACAGAGAGTAGTGCCGGCGTTACATCCTCATCGTACGTTGTGTTTATGAAGCATGTTCGTTACTCAACTTCTTCCCCGGTCTCTGGGATGCGTTTCGTGCTCAGGATGGAAGCACAGCGCTGTCGATAGCGCTCGAGGCTGGACACAACGACATCGCCGTCCTGCTCTACGCACATGTGAACTACGCCAAGCCCCCCTCGCCCGTGAGTACAAGCGGCTGACGCGCCGGTGCCCTCGTGGGGCACGCGGGTGGATTCGCGGCTTTTGTGCAGGCTGTCGAGTGTGCGGGCGGTGCCACTGCACTGGCCGATCACAGGCTAGGAAGGCGGGGCAAAATTGGACTTGGGGGTTCAATTTTATTACTTGCAACCGGGCCCAGTGCCAATTACGCAATGGCCACTGGTAGTGAGAGTGAGATGCTGTCCGGCTAAAACACGTTCTCCTGCGGAGGGAGCTGGTAGGAACGTTGGGTTGCTCGGTCAATGGCCAGGGTCAACGGCACCACCACGTGGTGTATTCCGCAAATATGCCCGACTGTGAGGGCGGGCACAAGCCGGCGTGAGTAGGTTAAACGTTGAGTTTTATAAGGGCACCACGGGGTGACCAGCCCAGCCCAGCCCCACCCCTCCCATCCCCCACCCAGCCCCACCCCCCACCCAGCCCCTCCCCACCCAGCCCCACCCCTCCCACCCCCCACCCAGCCCCACCCCCCACCCAGCCCCACCCAGCCCACCCAGCCCCTCCCCACCCTCCCCTCCCCACCCAGCCCCTCCCCACCCAGCCCCTCCCTCCCCACCCAGCCCCACCCCTCCCATTTTTGGATGCACGACGGACGGACACAATATAACCCCCTGTGGGCTGGTGTAGTAACCAGGAGGTTCCTACCAGTATCATCGTGTTATACCTAAACAAGTGCACTACATTTCAGAGAGGGGGGGGGAGGGAGGGGGACACTTTCGCTTATAAGACATCGGTGTGAGGGCTACCAGAGGTTTGACACCGGTGGGGGTTTGCCAGCGTGACGGGTGTGCCGTTGTCGGGGGCCACACATCAGCAGCCGCACTATAGGCCACCAGGTGTCGCCAGTCGCCCGCGGACCTCGCAATGAAGAACACTGCCGCTAAGCTGATGTCAGAATTGTTTTTTGTTTGTTTTACAGGGAACTCCTGTGCTGGGTCGTAAGATGCCCCAAAGCCCGACTCACAGGATAAAAGCGGAGTAGGCCTCTCCCGAGACGTGCCCTTAAGTTTCCTCCGTAACAATAGGTAGGTAAGGCGTCGAGACCAAGATTACGCAAGTCCGCCTTGTCACGCGTCCACCCGTTCAGCAGTGTCCTCGCGGCGACAAAACTTTTGTAAGAGCTCCACGTGCTGGGAAAAAACAAGAGGTGTCTCAAATGTGTCTTTAAGCTATAACCCACCTTTTGCCGAAGTAACAGGGGAACGAAATCAACAATCAGGTAGTGTTCGCTTGAATTTACAGCCTCTCCCAATTTACTTTTCTTTTTATACCCTCACATGGTGAATAATTGAACAATGCTGCAGTGCCTTACTCGGCTGCAATGTAAGTAGGTATGAACTTCTTTCGCACCGTTGTAATCGGAGATGTGGAGGAGCATGTGCACAGTATTCCATAAAGGATTCAAGTTTCCAAGTATGAATTGAATTCCTCTCGATTAGTTTAAAAAAAATGTATCACCATAGGTTAGTCATGGTATGGCCGAAAACAGATAAGTTATATATTTTCGCAAATCTTAGCAGGGCTTGGTGTCTTACATTGATTGAGGCATTCTTCCTGACTTAATGCATGAGCATCACGCAAAGCCACAATGTACAAATTAATTAGCTGTGATTTTTCTTTGGGCTCAGGGATTCACGATTAACGTTTAGGAAAACTGCCAGTCGGGCGCTGTACAATTACTAACATTCTTCACACTTTTATTCACAACACTAAAAGTATGAGAAATTTTGAAGGCTGGGTAAATAAACCGGGTCTGGCCAATGCCTCTAAATCCCTTAGTTGTCATTTGTTGTTTTGGTAAATGTTCAGGATTTAAATTGGTAACTGCTAAACTGGATATTTCATGCACATCTGGTACTAAACGCATATGTCAAACACGTAAGCAATGCTTCTCGACAAATAACATTTCCATTACGTTATTGAACCAAAATGTATTTTTTTTTATTTTAGTGTATATTCACGGTAACGAGTATAAATCTTTGTTGTACAGTTAAAGTGTGGAAGAAGGTCGATGCATAAAAGCAATGTTGGTACCGTCTTTGAAAATGTATTCAGGCATTTGAACATGTACAGAATCCTACCCAAACATGTTTTTTTCAATGTTAATGGGTTATTTTTACTGGCTTTGCCCATGGTTACTTGTATTTTAAACCTTGATGCAACCTTCTATATACGGTATGTAATCATTTATTTACGAGCATGTGATTGTACTGTCCTGCCAGCTTTTAGTGACCTAATATTTAACAAACCTTCAGCAACATTTCCACATTCGAGATGGTAATGACTAGGTACGATCATTAAAACTACGGCCAACGGCCTTGTCTTGAAGTTGTAGATATGCCACTGAGGTGTTGCCATGTTAATAACTAAAGTGCCTTAGGCTACCAATTAATCCCGTAGCCATTCCTGTACATAAACGTTATTGCGATGGATAGTGGTGACTGTTTTTCGTGGAAGTGGCCCTCTGTGTAATTGTTCCCTTTTGAGAAGTATTTTATATACAAGTGTTTAAAATGTTTATGCAGATTAGGTGTTTAAATGCTACACTTGGCCATTATTACCACCATACGAAAAAACCCAGACTGTTGATGTGAAACCCAGCGTCAGTTTAAACCTCATTCTTGCCAGTTGTATTCAAATAAAGACATTTTAACTTGTATATTGCCAGTTTTAGTAATGACTGTTACGAGTGAAATATCTAATCCATTGTTTTTCATGTACATTTTAACTCCCGATTATCCGTGGGTGGATTATCCGGGTCGTGGATTAACCGGGTCGCGGATTAACCGTGCTTTCAGACAAAATATATATTTTTACGTGCGCTTCGATCAGCTGCTCCTCACTCATAACTGTGCCCAAGTGACCGCAAACACGTCGGCAAGTAGACAGATTACTTTAACAAACAATAAAAACGAATGACAAATTATGTCTTCACCCCACACCCCCCTATTGTGGGTAAGTAAAAAAATTCAATTATCCTAACGTATGTTTTGTATTATCTGTGTGAGAGTTGACGATTAGTTTCAGAAAAACATGTCTGTTTGAAATATCTTGCCACCCGAGGATATTGCAAATTGGTAAACAGCAAATGTAAGTGTGCCTGAGAATGTATTATGAAAAAAAAAATGAAATTGTTCACACCCACACAATGACGCCTACAAATAACTATAAATGTATTACAAAGACGAATATGTTCAGGATAGATTTATTACATGTGTGCATGTTATACAGCAAGCACGTTTTATAACACAACATTGTCCAATGTAGGCACCGGAAACTTTAACTGCATTCTAGTACGATGCTTGGACACTTTTTTAAAACGAATGATTCTTGGTGGTATTGTACGGTCACGTGCATTGTCTACAAGTATGGCTGGTCAGTTGATATTTTCCACACCGGAATCTCTCCGGGTCTCATGGGTTTCTTCTCGACTTTTTCCACTGCCGACTCGCCGCTGTAAACAGAGGACAACTGATATATAACAGGTATGCAAGATGATGATGATGAGGTATGCAAGAGTTAGATGTCTGTGCACAAATGAAGGGCAAGCAGGTGGGTATGGACACATTGCACATTTGAATGCCTCATTTGCAGAATAACAGTCAAAATCGGCAGAGTCGTTTTATACTCACCTCGTTTTCACAGCTCTGAGAGTGGTGGTGGAACTTCAACACTTCTATTTTCCATAGGACAGCAAATGTCGACTTCCTAATGTTTTCATGGCTGCACCTAATAGCACGTTGAGCACTGACGGTACCTTTTAATAATCTGCCCTACTAAGGTATTCTGCAAATCTGAATTTGAAGCTGAATAATAATGTTTATATGTATCTTTTAATAAACTAGCAAATATGTCGCCTGCTGTCGTTGTTTTCTTCCATCATTGTCCATCTCCCAGTATCTTAGGCTATGTGTTTCGGTCTCCCTTTGTATCACTGTGTCAAGTCTAACTTGTTTGTCTCCCTCTATCTTGTCTCTCCCTGGCCATGTGCTTATGAGGGTGGTTGTTGCCATTGTAGTGGGGGAGCGGTAGTGTAGCGGTTAGCGCGCTGCCCTACGAAACCGGCGACCTGACTTCGATGCCTGCTCACGGACAGCACCAGTGACAATTATCAGGTCGGCTGTGGTGATGGTCACCCACCTCCTTGAGAACCGTTCCGGCCTTCATAAGCCGGAACGGTACACAACCTAACAGCACTTGCCCCGACAGTCTTTTCAAGGCTATAGAGGGATCTTTGTATTTGTCTTGGTATTGTAGCTCTTATCTATTGGGCTCCCTCTCTTTTTGTCACACCCCCAACCACACATTGTGCTGATCATGTGACTACGCTGGCCTGCAGAGCTCAAAGATAATATCCAACTTCATTGTTGTTGTTGTTGTTGTTGCTCTATTGATGTGTAGGTCAAAGATGAAACGTTCCTGGATACTTTCAATCTTTATCAATATTGCCACCTTGCGGATAACTGAGCAAAAGTGTGATTTGTCACGGACTATCACAAGCTGCGTACCGATCTATACACCAAAAATGAAGTGACGAAGGAGTTACAAGCTGGAAATTCGGAGCTACTCTGAAACCCGTAATGTAGGCATATATGAGTTCAACTCTCCAGCAATATGAACGATCAAAGTTTTACATCCTAATTCAATCCGATAGTTTCTTTTTAAATCTCGTTTCTTACATTTCATGTGTATTCTAAACTGGCCGTCTGTTCACTCCATTTGCCTACATATAGAATGTCCAAATAATTTGCATGAAAAATAATCACTTACTGCACAATTGTGCATATATATGTAGCGAGTAAGCAAATATTTAAGTGCGTAAATGCATGCATCGTTACATTCGTAAGTTATTAAACTGAAAATGCCTACCCTTTTTTCATCCAGTTCCCTCTTGCCTAAGGAATATCAGATCTCAGGGAGTACTCATCTGAATTATCAATAAGCCAATTGAATATGCCTGATTTGGCAGCCCTATCCAGTCATAGGTTTTCCAAGGGCTGCTTTACCTCTGTAGAGCGGTGCCAGCTTGCAGGGCTTTCTGCGATGACATGAGGACCGTGGGAGGGGCGCTCAGTCTCCGGCCATCCCTAAGGCAGTAACTATTGTTGGCAAATTTGTGGCTGGGCCCCACTGGAAGTTTCGGGGGTGGCTGCGTCCTGAAACACAGCAACTTCTTGTAAAATAAACACAGTACCAGGATTCCGTGTAAAAAAAAAAATAGTTTCCAGCAAAGTACAACGTTGTAATGGGCCACTTCAAGGAACGTTAGGTAAAAGGTGCACAGATGAGATGTGTAAATTTGGTACAAGAGTCCGGAATGAGAGAGAACATCCACTTGAGTTTGCAACCAGCAAGGACATGAAGATGAAGAAAATATTTTCAAAAAAGGGTCTTGAAAATGGATATGAAGTCCAAAAACAAATACGAAATGACATTCACTTAATTCATTAAAAAAAGCCCAGATTCACACACTTCTGCCTTTAGAAAATTCAACATTGCCAAAGGGAGAACAAAGCAAATTAAGACATTCTTGGTTCTTTCGGTAAAGTCCCTTCTACGTGACTTTACCGAAAGAACCAAGAATATGAATCCCTGCAGTCACGAAAGCTTTAAATCAAAATCAAATTAAGACAGTTAACATAAGCAACAAATGGATAACTAATATTGTAATAATGCACTGAAACTGGGGGGGCAACACAAGATTTAAACAAAATGTTGAATACTGTGCTAGACAGCAATTACTTTGGACCAGTTAACTGATGCTCTGAAATTAACAATCAAACTAAAGGGCTGGATTCTGCATAATTCTGAAAAAATACTTTAACCAGTATGTCCTTGTTGGGATTGAATGCGGAATTCACTGGCCCATTCATATTTTGACCAAACAGGCAAAATGGTGATGTGCCAAATTGTTGGTTACGACACATTTACATAAACAAATTCGGACAAAAGCAATCGCCAAAACAAGACAAGTCTTACCTTTTGGCTATTTCTGTATAACGCAGTTGTAACTTGCTTTGAAGGTCTTGCTGCAATGACACGAGCATAAAAACTCAGTTATGCATGTACCTGCATTGCCAAACAAGCCAACCACGATGTGCATTGTGTTGCTAAAATGCAATGAAAACGTTAACATGCCTTCAACAACCATGTTTGGCTCTGTACCCAAAGTATGATGCAACTAAATACAAACAACTCGGGGGGGAGTAGGGGGGTAAAAACCTATTTTGATGGATACATATATAATTTACTGTGTAACAAAAACAGTTTTGTTCCTGGGTAGTAAGTGTTATTTCCTAATTGCTTATGCCTCAAAAGTACAGAAAGTGGCTATTATTCCCCACAAACTTTGCTTTTGTGACTAGGACAGTAATATTTAGAAATTTACCTATTTTCAATGAGGAAACGTGTGCATTTGTCTTTCGTTCACATAAAGTCCTGGTCACAAAAGCAAAGTTTGTGGGGAATAATAGTAATTTTCTATACTTTTTAGGCATAAGCAATTAAAAAATAACACTTGGTACCCAGGGACAAAAATTGTGTTACATAGTGTATAATTAAATGCATGAGTTCCTTTGGTATTTACGACATCCTTGTACCAAGATATAAAAGGTGAGGCTCACAGTATGGGGAAATGTTGCTATGTGTAACCTATATCGAGTACATTATTTGCCAAGGTAAAATAAATTTGGAACATGACCCCAAATGTCTACCTTTTGAAAATGACGTCCCTGGATCTTTAATATCTCCAGTAAAGCAAAATACAGATGTGTATTTTTCTGTTAAATAGACAGCATTCACCAGGCGGCCTACCATATTCGAATCGCTAGAGGGGAACCACGCTACCCCTGGGCCATGTCAGCACTGTGAACATCAAACACCGACCACCTTCCAAAAACGTAAACGATCGCAGGTTTCAAAGAAGGGGAAAAGTTCGGCGATTGAGCACACTCGCAAAGCGAATGGAGCCTGACATTGAGCCAACCAACCACTCGTGCCAGGCCTCACACTGATCTGAGCCAACTAGCTAACCAGCTACGACTACTAGCAACTACCAATGACCTTGCGTCTAAGAAAACAAAATCGACCATGGACACTTGCACGAACCCTTTAGATTTGTTTACTTTCATTCGCATCAACAACAATGCGCTCAAGAGTTGTATATTCGTGTGCGTGTCAAAGCGACCTCCTGATCGAACCGACGTGGGGTGGTGCTCATCTCCATTCACGATTCTGAGCCGGTGGTGGAAATTCCACGTTCCTAAGGCAGACCGGCCGCAATCAGGCCACCAATGAAGGCCTATTTTCTAAACTCTCATCACCTCTCACGATGTAGACATCTGCCGAGCGCTTTCACCGCAAGCTGTTTTCATCGTTCCATGTACTCGGTGGACGAACTCTCGCGCGAGTTTTCTGTTTTGACCGCCACTCTGACGTCTCAACCACCAGATATTGGCCCTTCCGTTGAAGTGCCTAGCCAAGGCTACGTATTTTGCTATTTATTTATCGTCAATTATCCTGCGGGCGATTATCCGGCTGCTTCTAACATTATCCAGTGGTCCCAGGCCGATCCGGCAAAACAGGCAAAACCGCTCCAAAAGGTTGTACCAGTCCGGCAATCGTCAAACACATTAAGTTGCTGAAACAAGAGCGTAGTCGGTACTACGTACAGTGAGGGAAAAAAAGTATTTGATCCCCTGCTGATTTTGTACATTTGCCCACTGACAAAGAAATGATCAGTCTATAATTTTAATGGTAGGTTTATTAGAACAGAGAGACAGAATAACAATAAAAATCCAGAAAAACGCTTGTCAAAAATGTTATAAATTGATTTGCATTCTAATGAGGGAAATAAGTATTTGACCCCCTCTCAATCAGAAAGATTTCTGGCTCCCAGGTGTCTTTTATACAGGTAACGAGCTGAGATTAGGAGCACACTCTTAAAGGGAGTGCTCCTAATCTCAGCTTGTTACCTGTATAAAAGACACCTGTCCACAGAAGCAATCAATCAGATTCCAAACTCTCCACCATGGCCAAGACCAAAGAGCTCAAGGATGTCAGGGACAAGATTGTAGACCTATACAAGGCTGGACTGGGCTACAAGGCCATTACATCACCCATGCAGCCTTCGAGATTGGAGTGGTAAGTACGGTGCAGTAAATACAGTAACTTTTTACAGGTTATGTATTTATGTCCATTTGTATGTTTATCTATACAATTTTCACATAGTAAACACATGTAAAACACTAAAAAAAACATGCACAACACCTTAAACAAATGTTGTGCAAAAACGTGTCAAAATAAACTGCTGTATTTTTAAAAAAGTTATCCGGCGTTTTTGAAACTCCAGCGCCCCCTTCCCCCGAAGCTGCCGAATAATCGACTATCTACAAATGATTGTTTAAGTTTCCAAGCGGTATCAAACGTGGTATACTGACACAGTGATAACACGATGCGATAATTAGACGTAGCATTGACAAATCCAATTACGCCAATGTTATAGAACATCCTTGTTCTAACCGCTACCGCTATTACCTTCCATGTAAATTGCCACACGTGGTCGACACCACGTTCAAACACACGACAGCAAACGTTAACCAACGCAGATTTATACAACAAAAACCCTTAAACAGTAAACATATAAACAGCGCCCTCTCGCAGCAACTACGTTACGCAGGCTTCGGCCTTGCGTCACCTTGACACCGGGATGGGGCATTGCGAGTTTAGAGCGCTGCGACAGCCCCGCACCGCGCCGTTTTATTGCTGATTCCCCCGTGCTGTGTGCCTGCGTCTCGGTGAGGGGTTCATTAATTGTCGCTAATTGCTTAAATTGCAGTTACCCCGCTTAGGAAGTTCCTCAGTCGCTGGATGATTCTGCTGGCGGTCGCCATGACGGTTGTTTCTTGTCACGGGAGGGCGTGACGTCACGAGAAACCACGATATATCGCGGTGACGTCAGGCGATATCACGATATATCGCGGTGACGTCAGGCGATATCACGATATATCGCGGTGACGTCAGGCGACATCACGATATATCTCGGTGACGTTAGGCGATATCACGATATATCGCGGTGACGTCAGGCGATATCACAATATATCGCGGTGACGTCAGGCGATATCACGATATATCGCGGTGACGTCAGGCGATATCACGATATATCGCGGTGACGTCAGGCGATATCACAATATATCGCGGTGACGTCAGGCGATACCACGATATATCGCGGTGACGTCAGGCGATACCACGATATATCGCGGTGACGTCAGGCGATACCACGATATATCGCGGTGACGTCAGGCGATATCACGATATATCGCAGTGACGTCAGGCGATATCACGATATATCGCGGTGAAGTCAGGCGATATCACGATATATCGCGGTGATCTCGGGCGACATCACGATATATCGCGGTGACGTCAGGCGATATCACGATATATCGCAGTGATTTCGGGCGATATCACGATATATCGCGGTGACGTCTGGCGATATCACGATATATCGCGGTGACGTCAGGCGATATCACGATATATCGCGGTGACGTCAGGCGATATCACGATATATCGCGGTGACGTCAGGCGATATCACGATATATCGCGGTGACGTCAGGCGATATCACGATATATCGCGGTGACGTCAGGCGATATCACGATATATCGCGGTGACGTCAGGCGATACCACGATATATCGCGGTGACGTCAGGCGATACCACGATATATTGCGGTGACGTCAGGCGATATCACGATATATCGCGGTGACGTCAGGCGACATCACGATATATCGCGGTGACGTCAGGCGATATCACGATATATCGCGGTGACGTCAGGCGATATCACGATATATCGCGGTGAAGTCAGGCGATATCACGATATATCGCGGTGATCTCGGGCGACATCACGATATATCGCGGTGACGTCAGGCGATATCACGATATATCGCGGTGACGTCAGGCGATATCACGATATATCGCGGTGACGTCAGGTGATATCACGATATATCGCGGTGACGTCAGGCGATATCACGATATATCGCGGTGACGTCAGGCGATATCACGATATATCGCGGTGACGTCAGGCGATATCACGATATATCGCGGTGACGTCAGGCGATACCACGATATATCGCGGTGACGTCAGGCGATACCACGATATATTGCGGTGACGTCAGGCGATATCACGATATATCGCGGTGACGTCAGGCGACATCACGATATATCGCGGTGACGTCAGGCGATATCACGATATATCGCGGTGACGTCAGGCGATATCACGATATATCGCGGTGACGTCAGGCGATATCACGATATATCGCAGTGATTTCGGGCGATATCACGATATATCGCGGTGACGTCAGGCGATATCACGATATATCGCGGTGAAGTCAGGCGATATCACGATATATCGCGGTGATCTCGGGCGACATCACGATATATCGCGGTGACGTCAGGCGATATCACGATATATCGCAGTGATTTCGGGCGATATCACGATATATCGCGGTGACGTCAGGCGATATCACAATATATCGCGGTGACGTCAGGCGATATCACGATATATCGCGGTGACGTCAGGCGATATCACGATATATCGCGGTGACGTCAGGCGATATCACAATATATCGCGGTGACGTCAGGCGATACCACGATATATCGCGGTGACGTCAGGCGATACCACGATATATCGCGGTGACGTCAGGCGATACCACGATATATCGCGGTGACGTCAGGCGATATCACGATATATCGCGGTGACGTCAGGCGATATCACGATATATCGCAGTGACGTCAGGCGATATCACGATATATCGCGGTGAAGTCAGGCGATATCACGATATATCGCGGTGATCTCGGGCGACATCACGATATATCGCGGTGACGTCAGGCGATATCACGATATATCGCAGTGATTTCGGGCGATATCACGATATATCGCGGTGACGTCTGGCGATATCACGATATATCGCGGTGACGTCAGGCGATATCACGATATATCGCGGTGACGTCAGGTGATATCACGATATATCGCGGTGACGTCAGGCGATATCACGATATATCGCGGTGACGTCAGGCGATATCACGATATATCGCGGTGACGTCAGGCGATACCACGATATATCGCGGTGACGTCAGGCGATACCACGATATATTGCGGTGACGTCAGGCGATATCACGATATATCGCGGTGACGTCAGGCGACATCACGATATATCGCGGTGACGTCAGGCGATATCACGATATATCGCGGTGACGTCAGGCGATATCACGATATATCGCGGTGAAGTCAGGCGATATCACGATATATCGCGGTGAAGTCGGGCGACATCACGATATATCGCGGTGACGTCAGGCGATATCACGATATATCGCGGTGACGTCAGGCGATATCACGATATATCGCGGTGACGTCAGGTGATATCACGATATATCGCGGTGACGTCAGGCGATATCACGATATATCGCGGTGACGTCAGGCGATATCACGATATATCGCGGTGACGTCAGGCGATATCACGATATATCGCGGTGACGTCAGGCGATACCACGATATATCGCGGTGACGTCAGGCGATACCACGATATATTGCGGTGACGTCAGGCGATATCACGATATATCGCGGTGACGTCAGGCGACATCACGATATATCGCGGTGACGTCAGGCGATATCACGATATATCGCGGTGACGTCAGGCGATATCACGATATATCGCGGTGACGTCAGGCGATATCACGATATATCGCAGTGATTTCGGGCGATATCACGATATATCGCGGTGACGTCTGGCGATATCACGATATATCGCGGTGACGTCAGGCGATATCACGATATATCGCGGTGACGTCAGGTGATATCACGATATATCGCGGTGACGTCAGGCGATATCACGATATATCGCGGTGACGTCAGGCGATATCACGATATATCGCGGTGACGTCGGGCGACATCACGATATATCGCGGTGACGTCAGGCGATATCACGATATATCGCGGTGACGTCAGGCGACATCACGATATATCGTAGAAAACGAGATTCACGATAATCGTATCGTCCGACTTGCAAAACGCTGCATCGTTATATCGTGAATGCTGTTGTTCGTTCATGCCAAGAACGTTACGTCCCTCGTCAAATGTTCATGGGGAACAAACGACAGTATTTAGTAATCAGAGTACACAATGCCACTTGGCTGTTCCGGGGCTGACCAGGGCACGCTTCCCAGTGGTCGTGGAAACGAGGTAGCGAATCGTTAACACGGGGACGAGGTGGTGGTGGGAGGGGGGGAGACGCGATCCAGGTGACGCGCTCACGTGAGGCCAGACCCACGTGCTGAGAGGCAAAGTTCGCTCGCGGCCGCGAAAAAGCCGTGCCGGGGCTCAGGACGGTCACGTCTGCTCCTTTGTCTCGTGATGCCGGGGTGCGGTTTGGGGGTCAAGAGGAAAAAAGGGGGGGGGGGAGTGAGAGACGGGTTTGATAGGGCGGATGAACCAGGCATGGGGGGCACGCCTGTGCTCCAGTGCTTTGGAGGCAAGGGTTGGTGGATCACGTAGGGATTTGTGAAAACTCCCGAACCCGCCAGGCTGTGAGGTGGTGGCAAGGGCATGAGCATCGATATTGATCGATGTAATCGTTACATACGATTGAGCGGTGGCGTTTTGGTTATCACACTGCGTTATAAAAAACCTGGTCATGACTGGCCATGACTTAACATCAGTGACGAGTAAAATCTAAACACGACTTGGCTCTCACGCCCTTCAACAACCCTCACCGACCAGCGTGGCAACAATCTATCGTCAAACAAACCGTCGTGACCTACACGGCGTGGGAGGAGGGGAGGGGGGGGAGTCCATCATCCAGCAGTGGATTTCCAAAGGCCTGTGATTACTACATAGTCGCCAAGTGCCTACCACAATCCCTCCTGCGCCACTGCAGCAATGGTTCACATTCATAGCCACGCGGCGGGAGGTCTCTTGTGCTCATTAAGGGAGGCTCTCCAAGCTGAAATATTCAGCATCTGTTTGTGTCGTCTTGTAAGGGAGAGATTCAATCTCGTCTGTGTGCTGGGAAAGGAATATAATCACTCCGTTCTCTCGGGCCAGATTCACGCCTTGAACCAAGAAAGGTGAAACGCATCGCCCTGGTTTTTTATGTTGAAGACCAAAAAAAAATCAAAGGTTTCGTTAACGAAACACGCATTCAAAATTTCCATCCTCTGACCGAGTGAGGCTTTCCTTGGTAAATAATTACCATCGTAATATATATACGCACACACACACGCACGCGCGCGCGCACTCGAATACGTGCCAGTCTGTGTGCCTGTGTGTTTATTGGGCGTCATCCCCCCCAGGTCGCGTGCCATACGAACGCCGGCGAGACGTCAAAGTCTCGTTTCCTCCCCCGTTCCGTCTCATTCTTCCCCATCCTTATTTTCAACCCCTCCTCTTTAATCTCCTCCTCCTGCTGCTGCTGCTCCCTCCGTATTGTTTTGTTGAGACCCTGTCTCTCGTGCCAGCAAAGAGCGGCTCTCGCTTCGCTCTGCTTCTCCCGTTGAATCTTCCTCGGTGTCGTGGGTCGCCGCAGGAGTCGCTGCTGCTGCTGCCGCTGCTGCCGCTGTTGTTGTTGGAGGCCAGTGACGGGAGAACGGAGGAGGAGGAGGTCACAGCCATGGCCGAGGAGACGCCCGAGGTCAAGGACTCCTCCCGAAAGTCTAAAAAGAGAGGTGAAGAGGAAGGGGGGGGCATCTTGGGGACGCCTGGAGCGCGCAGGGCACTGGAATGAGTAAATTAGTCGCGGACTCGGCTACCAGAATTACATTCAGTGGCGCCGCAAGTCGCCGTGGGTTCGATCCCGACCCTGACACCTGTATTTTTGGAGTTTGCGTGTCTCTCTCTCTCCCTGTGGTCGAGTGGGGTTTTCTCCGGGTCCTCCGGTTTTTTCCCCCTCCCCATTTAGAAACAACGTGCGTTTAGGGTATTTGGCTGCTATACATTTGAACATGATAAGCCACTTCGTCGAGCCATCCATTGTGGCCAGGTCGTTTCTTAAAAAGAGCTATACAGCTCAGTGGGCCTTACCTGGCAAAATAAAAACGAGAGTTTAGTTTATGTGTGGTATGTATCTGCATTTTTGCGTGTGTCTGTGTCGATGAATAATCATCATTGCCCTCATTGCAAAGTCTCAGATTCTTGAGCAGACTCATCGTGTGCATGCGTTTGTTGTATTTCTGTCTTGCAATGTGCGTGGGTGGGAGCGGTGTCGTGTGCGATTCGCGACTTGGCGCACGGCGTTACGAATCCGGCCAGTGCAGTTCGATGCCCGGCCGCGGGCAACATCAGTGGCCGATGCCTGAACCGGGTCGTGTCCCTCCGCAGGGAAAGACCGTAGCGAAGATGAGCTCACCCGTCTCTTCTCGGGAGACGGCGTGAGCTACCGAGCCAAGATCATCGGCTCTGACCCAGTGCCTGGTCCCTCCGGACACAAGATCTGCCAGGATGCAATGATGAAGCTCAAGGTACACGACCTCACCTCCCACACGAGCCAGCCAGCTCTCTCTCTCTCTCCCTCCTCCCTCTGCCCTGTCGACTCTCCATTCGACCTACCATCCATCTCCCCCGTGCATCGACCTCCCCCACTCCCCCCTTGAATGAGTACCCAGCACTGGGATAACGTGGTTGTTGCCCACACTCCCCGCCGCCCCTCGAATGCCGTGTCGACCTTAATAGGTGTTCGCTAACTTGCCTCGACTGTCTATGGGAAAAGACATAGGATGAGAACAACGGTTATATAAAATCTGTTGGTACTAAGCCGATCATGAAATGTTGAAGATGATTAGAATGATTCTAATGCCTGTAGGTGTAATGATAACGAGTGACACTACTTCCGTTACTAAGAACATGTAAGCTGATGATACATCTTAAGATAACGATGGTAATGATTATGATGGTGTAAGCAATAATAATAATGTGATTGAACCTTCCACTGATGCTGGCGACGATGTACATTCCGATTATGATATTTATACATAAAATGCATATCATGATAATAATTATGTTACTGATTATTCTGATACGTCTTCTATTTGTCATAAATATGATAATGGAAATTATGCATTTTTTACTGAATACGCTTATGACTCACAGTACAAAATAAGCACGGACACCGTTGTAGAAAAATAAAAGTAAACACTCAAATAGGCAGACAATAGGCCTCCTTGTACCCATATCTAACAGTGAGGGAGTCCTTGCCTGTACCGTATATATCTGCCAGTTCATCACCATTGGTTCGAGTAAGCCTGACTGCTGATGAGACACTGAGTGTCGAAACCTGCCCAGTATTTTCGTGTATTGAACCAATGCCTCTGAAATTATGACTATTATTATGCGCTCCCAGGAGTCGGTGCGGCCGATGGGAGGCGGATGGATAGATATGGGAAGGAGGCGCATTGCCTGCTGATTTACTCTTGACGACGGCGGCGGTGATGATGATGATGGTGGCGATGACGACGGTGGTGGTGATGATGATGATGATCGCGATGCCGACGACGCCCCTTGCAGGCAGTGGCGTCGACCTCGCGTTCCCGGGGCCAGCACAAGCAGCGCGTGCTCTTCAGCATCTCCTTCAAGGGCATCCGCATCTCTGATGAGAAGAGCGGAGTGCGTGCCCCCCCCCCCCCCCCCCCCCACACAGTTCACCTGCCGCTAAAGCCCTATCCTGTATTCGTAATGCGTCCTGCACGGTATCCATGCCGCATCCTCAGCGACACACGGGGGCAGCTGTCCCGCCAGTTTAGGGAATGATTAATTTTAAATGTTGTGATGAATGTAGTGGCCTGTACTATCAGCAGGGGTTACATGAACTCATTACATACAGGGTACACATATACATTCCACCGTGCTCTCCTCGTCTTCCCCCCCCCCCCCCCCCCCCCCCCCCCCCCCCCCCCCCTGACAGCGGTCACGGCTAACATCAGTGGCAAGTTGTAGCAGAACTCTTGTCCTGGACCTCCCACGAGATGGACTCAGCTTTAACATTGAACACGGACACTAGACAGAGATGGAGATCGTGTGTGTGTGTGTGTGCGTACATGCGTGTCGCATGTAACGTGCAGGGGCGGTGCAGCGAGTGATGGGGCACCACGCTCCACGCCCGGCCGTCTGAGTTTGATTATTGGTCACAGCTAACATTAGTGGGCATCTCTGAAAGAGAGCTTTATAGCTCATCGGATTTCTCCAGTATACATAAATATTCCGATTCTGATAGTGGCGAGTAATAGCTGAACCGTTTCGGAGCCCCCTCCCCCTCGATCGATTCAACCTTAAAATAACACCTGATGGGCGGTGTGTAAAACATCAGTACTGGGGAGACAAAGGCGGACGGTATCGGTGCTGGTCACGCCACATCACCACGTGGGCCGCGTCGGCTCCAGTGGGCGCTCACCCACCGCTCACAACCCGTGCCGGATTCAGCTAGTGCGGGGCCTGTAGCATATGTTATGAAGGGGCCTTAAATAAAAATAAAACACGTGAATATTAAAACACATAAATGTTTATCTTGCATCGTAAAGTAAATGTATTTGTTCATTTGCTATACAGCCAGATAATACGACAAAACGCTAACCTTAAACATCCAGTCGTTCATAAAAGTTGAAGACAGTATAGTACTATAGTAATAGAGCAAGTGCAGAATCACTTAACCGGAATTGATAGCTTGAAAACATTTAGCGCGGGGCCCTTGAAAATGCGGGGCCTGTTGCATATGTAGCTACTTTTGCTACTGGGATCATCCGGCACGGCTCATAACAAAGAAACAGTCTGCATGGCTCAAAAGGGGACAATTGTCTCCGTGTGCTTGGGTGACCGCCGGCCCCTGGGCTCAGCAAGGGGCTCACCGTTCCCGACTCCTGGTGGCGGGGGGGGGGTGTGACCACGAATGACCCCTTGACCCCCACAGACCACCGAGTACGAGCACCCAATTGGCTTAATCTCTTACATCGCCCGCGACGTCTCGGATCCGCGCGCCTTCGGCTACGTGTGCGGAGCGTCTGGAGCCCATTGCTTCTACGCCGTCAAGACTGTACAGCAGGTGAGTACTGGGGTGTGTGAGGTGAGGGGGGGGGGACCCCCTACACCCCCACCACACAGCTAAACCCTACAACGTTTCCATCAGCTAATTAATGTAATTAATCTATCCTCCTTGTGTCTCGATCAATTGTAATTGATCCTCCGCCATTCACAAGTCAGGGGTCGTATATACTGACCGAGTAGCATATCTTGGAAACGAGAGCCAATCAACAATTTTAAGCATCATTTTCATTCTCAGTGACCCAGAATTAGTCAAGTTGGACTACATTTATTTCGGAAGCGTCTTGGCTGTAGACCAATGTTATCGAGAGAGAGATTATCATTGTTGTGAAATTGAAAATCCCACGTGGGCTCGTAGCTCAAAATAGTGCGTGGACCACGTGTCATTATTGGAATTGTTATCGCCGGTAATCGCTAATCATCACCGTCGTCATCATCCATTGTGTACCTTCATCAATGGGTGTAATGAACGATCAGAAGCGATCCTTATCTTATTTATACATCAACATCGTAAAAGAGTTACTCATCATCGCTATGACCATCATCATCATCATCATCTTCAATCGATATTATCAGTCATCAATCGTTAATGATTACCATCATCAATTGTTATTCATTACCATCATAAACTTTATCATCGTTGATCACTTTAATAAATCGTGATATATCATCATAAGCATCAGCCCCTTCGCTTGCAGTATCACATCCCACGCCATTGCTGGTTCTTGATGGACGGGGCTGACATGTCCCTTCCCCCTCGCTGGCCCTTGGCTGCCCCCCCCCCCATGCAGGCCGAGCCCGTGGTCATGGACATTCACGACGTCTTCCAGCTGCTGGGCAGCAGGAAAGGGCAGCAGCCCCAGGTAGCCGGGGGAGACGCGACCTTGCACCTCGACGAACAGGTGATGGCTCTGTGGGTTTGGGGCAGGGGCTCCCAGCCAAGATGACCCTTGAACCCCACAATTTTCCTCTTAAACGCCCCTCCCCGTCTACCCACAACTCGAATATCCTTCAATGCCACCGCTGTAGGCGTATCCGGGTTTACATTTGTAGGGCGTGTACATGCCTCACTGATTCAAAGCGCCGTTTATAACACGTCACAACTCGGCCAGTCGAACCAAGTGGCTCCCTGTCGCTGTGTGGCACAATATGGTATACGCAGCACTCACCTGCAAACGGGCATAATTATATCTGCCAGTAGGCGCTGTGATTGGAAGGGTGGCTCTCAATATTCATTGTGCGAGTCATAATTCTCATCGGGAGTCAACTTAGCCAGATATAGTGGTCGTCCCACGGATAGACTGGATCCTGGCTCTAGTGATATGGAATTGTCACTACTGGCTCACGGCTTGTATTGACTCTTGATCGAATATCATCAGAGCACATAGTTGCCTTAAAATACCATACACATTAAAAATATATGTTTAAAAATTAGCTTAAGCTTACAGATAAACCCCAACCAGCTTCCCTTCCCTGCTCCTTTGCCACCGCCAAAACAGGAGGCAAACTTAGAACGAACGACAATCACAATGCAAGGGACCGCGCACCTGCTCTGGACATCAAAGTCCGGGGCGATGATCAAACGCGGCCGCGCGAGCACGTGGCCTCGGCGTTAATCACTGATGCGTTCACGTGGGACGAGTACTCATATACGGGGGGGGGGGGGAGGGGGGCACACCAACAACGGCGAGCAAAGGAATACGCGTTGTGAATGCGCACTTCAGCAGTGTTCTTCACGCATTTTCAGAGGGGTGGGGGGTGGGGGGTGGGGGGTGGGCACTTTCGCCGATAAGACATTATCAGTGTGAGCACCGCCACACATTTGAAACCATTGTTGGGTTTGACAGCAGCAGCAGCACCATGATGATGATGGGGGTGTTGTCACGTGTTGTCTATTGTCGGGGGGCCGCACGTCACGGGCTGCACGAAAGGTCACCAGGGGGCTGCTAATGTCCCACGGACCCTGCAATGAAGAACGCTCCACTACAGTCGAGATATGTACAGGCATGAACTTCTCACTTTGTATTTGGTGCGTGACCAGTACCCACACCCGTAGCAAGAGGCATGCTACTGGATGTGCTGAGCCGGGCTCGGAAATGTGTTGCGGGTTGTTGACCGGGTACCGACTCGGCTAAGATTAAGCCCTGAGCGCATCTCTCTCTACCTTATGGCCAAAATCACTCGGAACGCGCACCATTTCGCCACAACGCAGAAGCGTAGCAGAGGTGAGCCTGGTTCGTGCTTGGTTGGATGAACAACCACCATGCATGAGACGTGTTGTTATAAGCTGGTGGGCAACCCACGTGCTATGCTCCCATCTACAGACAGACCTGGCAGGTGGGGTTATCCACCCTTGCATGATCCACCAACCCCACATCATGTTGTTCGATCACCGGCCACCACTTGTGCTTCTTTTGCACCGTGCGTAGCCAACCGTGCTAATCGGAGGTGCGGGTATGGACAACGAAAAATGACGAGAGGCATTGATATAGGGGCGTCTGGAGAAACCGCCTACCGTGCAGGGGGAGCCGATTCAAACATAGCTGTAGAGATGTGATAGCCATCAGACCCCATGGGCTGGCGTGTTGAGGCTGCGCTGTGTAATCGCCGTGGCATCTACAGCTGGATCAAAAGTTTCAGTGCCATGCCTCGCTGGGCGCCTGTGTCAAAGTGCGTGCGTTGTGTTTTCTTGCAGAAGAACTTTGTGCAACTGGCTTTGTTTGGGGAGATCAGCACCTCCGTGGAGCCCAACTCTCCCATGGTACCACATCACCCCCCCCCTCCCCCCTCCCAGCCACTGGTTACACCAATTACATCGACAGGAGCCAACACCAGGACCAGGCACAACGCTCAGGGTGTAACGATGCATTGATTCGACAATATCGATTAAGGTCACGGTACAGTCATCACAGTGTGTGTAAGAACTGACGTTCTTCAATTTGTACATTTTACTTGTAATGGGTTCGTATAATAGTAAAAAAAAAACGGGGACCGTAATTGAATGACTGTGGGAATCAATTTAACATTGCCTACTCAATAGGCGCTCACTAAGGACGATCTCGATATGTCGTTGCGTGCGCGCGCCTATGTCGGCACTCAGACCCCCGCTGAAGAAGGGTGGTCGAACCCCACCTGGGGTTCGCCGTGCAACATCCCAGTGCTCATCAGGGACCCTGCGAGACTCCAGAATGAATACCCACCCGGGGGCCCTGGCTCAGTGGCTCACGCGGGAGGCAGCACGGCCGGGAATGTCACAATATTTCTGGACGGGACGTGCGGAGGCGAGACCGACACAGACGACCCCGATCCTGCGTCTGTCCAGGTACATGATCTCCTGGCCCCATGCGCCTTGAGGGTTCTAAGCAGTGGTAAGCGCGTGGCTGCAGGTCGAAGAAGGCTGCAAACTCCACCTTGTGTGTTTTCCAGCCTCGGCTGTTGCGTGCAGGTAAATTAGTTGAGACAGTTGAATATGTGATGGCAGTGGCTACTTCATCAGTGCATTCTCCACCGAGATGCAGCTCATGTGGCTTCCCAGGAGAACTGGTCTGGTGGGAGCCCATCACTGCCGAGCCATCATCGTCATCATTATTAATAGTAATGGAACATCATCATCATCAACACTATTGCCTGCATCTTCTTTGGTTCTTTCGGTAAAGTCACGTAGAATGAGAATAAAATAATAAATTGATAAAATAAAATAACAATAATATTCTCACGACGTTTCGGCCACAACACAAGCGGCCTTCATCAGGTGAAGGGAGCGAGACTGTCTGGTAGGACAGCGCTGGAGTGAGAGAGCCAGCGCTGTCCTACCAGACAGTCTCGCTCCCTTCACCTGATGAAGGCCGCTTGTGTTGTGGCCGAAACGTCGTGAGAATATTATTGTTATTTTATTTTATCAATTTATTATTTTATTCTCATTCTACGTGACTTTACCGAAAGAACCAAAGAAGATGAATCATTGCAGTCACGAAAGCTTTAAATCGAAAACTATTGCCTGCAGTTTCACATTCAATGTCACTTCTGGCTCCCAGCAGAATGGATCTGGTAGGAGGCCAGCACTGGTGTAGCAACATCATCACAGGCCGCCTCAGTCTTCCAATCAATTAATCCACCTGAACAAGTTACGCGAGACTGACGCAAACAGAGGCAGAGTTTGTTGTTTCTTCAAACTGAAAGCAGGAGTGATCAATGGGTTCGTGTGAAGGTTCCTAGGGTCCCCAGAACCTTGGCCAGATGTCAGGCAAAACCATTGCTTAAATGTGCACACCATGTTTTTTTTGTATGCAGTTTAAGGATATTATTATTCTGAATCCTCCACTTGAGATTTAATCTCCATGTAAATGTATGATCTATGATCCGGATTAAATGTGTGCATGGTCAGTGGGCCAGATACACGCCATGACCAAATCACCTTGCACATTTGTAATTGTCGGTGACATAAGGATTGGCGTATTTCTCTCAAACGAATCGGATAGAAAGGAACATCAACCATCACCGAGCATTGGAATTATGTTAAAATGCTGCACCATCACAATTTGTTTGATGAATTGGTCTTCTTATGCACGCACCACCTCTGCTTTACAAGGATGAAGATGACAAGGTACCAGCTGTCTGCAACATGCCATTACCTTCCTCTTTTGTTCTTCTCAAGTAAATCCTTTACATCACCTTCTGCTGGATCTGATCATCAGATGCGTTCAGCTAAGGCGTATTGCACGTGTACTCGCATGTCCGGATGTTGAACTTCTTTCGCACCGTACACAGCTAATCGTGCTAATCGGAGGTAATGTACTGTATGCATGCGTGCTAGCAGGCCCTGGACAACATGGATATCTACGCATCCATCTCCAAGCCCTCCCAACCACAGGTGCAGCAGGGTGGCGATCCCTTCGCTCTTCCGCCGCTCTCCTTCGACGATAATTTCGCAGCCTCCATGGGGCATGCATTGCCGGCGGCTTTGGCGGGGCCACCCGGCGGTCCGGAGTCGGGCAGGGTCCCACTGAGCATCACGATTCCCGCACCCCGGGGAGCCGGGCTTTCTGTGTCGGCCACGGTGAGCAGCCCAGCTTCTCTGGCTGGAACTCCTCAAGCTGTGCCACCTTCAGGTGTACTAGGATTGCAGCAGCAGCAGCAGCGACAACAGCAGCGGCAGCAGAAGCAGCAGACAGCGCCCTGGATGCCGCAGATGACCCAAGCAGCTGCTGTTCTGGCGAGCATGGCCAGTCAAGCGACCGCGCAGCAAAACTCAGCGTCGTCGCAGGCCGCACGAGCCGACGTCTACAGGGAGGCGTTTGCAGGCCTCGAGCAGCCGGCGGCACCTGTCTCTCAAGCGGCGTGGCCCTCGCCGGGTCAGGCCCCCCAGCCAGCGTGGCCTTCACCGGCTCAAACTGGCCAGCAAGCGTGGCCCTCGCCGGGTCAGGCCCCCCAACCAGCGTGGCCTTCACCGGCTCAAACTGGCCAGCAAGCGTGGCCCTCGCCGGGTCAGGCGGCCCAGCAAGCGTGGCCTTCACCGGCTCAAACTGGCCAGCAAGCGTGGCCCTCTCCACACCAAGCATTTCAGCCAGAGTGGCCTCAAAACCAAGCCTTTCAGCCCGTGTGGCCATCCCAAGAGCAGGCCTTTCAGCAGCCCAGCTGGCCGGCCCCCCACGTGGGGCCCGGCAGTGGCGGCGGCACTCAGCCATTCGGCGTGGGCGCGACGCCGGAGCTGGAGTTGGAGCTGGCCCTGGGCGGGGAGCCCGTGGTGAGCGTCTTCCCGGTGGCCGCCCCCCAGCCGCAAGCCGCCCCCCATGCCGGGCCCGCGCGGCCCCCCGCAAGTGCGGGGCCGGACCCGTTCAGCGGCCTCATGGGAGGTGTGCAGGCCACCACCAAGGTGCTCATCTTCTGAAGCTGTTCTTGTCTACATGCGTGACTCGACTGCCTCTCCCCGTCAAGTGTCTATTGCATCTTAGCTTCGTCTTTGGGCCGCGACACGCTACCCCCTCTAGCCCTGTTTAAAACCGAATAATTGTTTATATCAGAAACCTCGCCGCTTCATACTCTGTGGATATGCACGCTTACTTGAATTCGCACAGCACCGTGAGATGTGGTGGCGCGACATGGTGAGCAGTAGAGGATGGTGCTAAATCCATTATTTTACTGTACTGTACTTCTATGCTCCCACATGTATGCTCCTTGTTTTCAATAACCCACAGTGACCAGCCTGATGAAGAATGGCCAAATAACCCCCCCCCACACCCCACTAACAACCGCCACGACGTCGGAAGGGCCAATCATATAATTATCGATTGACAAACGGTGCAATGCGGATCGCGTGGCACCTCCAGCCACTAGAGGTCGCTACGTTAATCACAATTGTAAAAAAAATTCGAATCGGATCACAACTGTGAATGGTGACAATTCACTCGCTGGGGGTGGGGGGGGGGGGGAATTGTCACACCCCTACGTATTAGATGGGGTGGCAATTACATCTCTGTTTAATAGTTGCGTGTCTATATATGCGAATGCATATGCGGTAGTGTAGCGGTTAGCGCACTGCGCTACAAACCCGGCCACCCAGGGTCTATTCCTGCTCACAGTCAATACCAATGACGATTATATGAACGGGTCCTGGGCTTACTCCCCTAGGTCGACTCAGCCTCAAATGAGTACCTGCTGCGGTGCGTAAGCATCGCCACTAGGGAGACAAAGGCGGCCGGGCGTGGTGCTGGCCACCCTTCCCTTCGTGTGCTGTGCCGGCCTTGATCGGGGCTCGCTAACAGCACTTGTCCCAACAGTCTGTTCGAGGCTCTTCGGGAGGGATCTTTGTTTTTGCCTTTTGCATATGCCGTGCCAGCCTGAGTAAGGGTGCTCACGAACACCACTTTCCATGCAGTATCCAAGGCTAACCGGGGGATCTTTGTCTTTGTGCGTGCGTGTGTTGCAGTGAGTGGCCACCCTTTGGATATGGAGTGAACAGAGCATCGCGGCGTGACCACACGCGTACAACTTCTCTCCGTTCTCTCGAACACCTTCCCACACACCTATACTGTTCGGCACTTGGATTGAGACCAACCATCGCTCCCTCGGCGTTTCCAACATGATGTGTTCATCTTCGCCGGCCAAATATACAAACATGCCTGACGATTGCTGAAACATGACACGTAAACACTCTTAATGTCCACCGGTGCCCTCTCCAAGTCGTGCGGTACAAGATCTTTGACAATTGGAATCAGGCTCTGGAGCCAAAACCCCTTCCCCACAATATAGCCGTCACAAACTTTCGAGGCAAGTGCTTTTCACACGGGCGCCTATGAAGGCCGGCATGGCAAACGAGGGGGCGGGAGGCCAGCAACCGCGCCCGACCGCCTTTGTCTCCCCCGTGGAAAACCACGACCGCCACTGCCACCAGCAGCATCATTCCCACGTACCTATGGAAACACACGTTCACACCTACACACACGCAAACCAACATCTCCCCCCGCTCTCTCTGTTTCACGTGGGGAAGTGTTTGTTTAGCATCTGACGCGTGAAGCGTGGAAAGACTTCCGTTTATGTTTGGATGGAAAATATTGGTCAATGTTGAGAGGTGGGCCGTTGTGAGCGGCGAGTGCTGGAGTCAGAAAATCCTGCTTTAGATTTCCACAGATGTTCAGACCCTTGACTTTGTAGGCTATGTTACCTGTACCAGTAATACAGTACCAATCAACGATTACAAATGCACTTACAAAAATCCAGAATTGCACGTGAAAATTGTACTTAGATTAGTCAATAGATTGAAAACGTATTTTTGTGTGTAGTTTGTTGTCCTTCCCCCGCACCTCCGATTAGCACGGTTGGCTACGTACGGCACGAAAGAAGTTCAACAACACACATTCGGCACATGCAGCATACATCAACTTTGTCTCGTTTTGCGCAACTGCCAGTACATTTTAACACGTGTGGGTTCAGAATAAACGTCTTGGTAAATGCAACGTTCCTGTATTTTATGTAAAAAAAACTAACAACAATAATAAAATACTTTAATAATATTAAATCATCATAGCGTTCGCCTATTGCCACGTCACTGTCGTGTATCACCTGCATTGTAAATTTCCGCGGAGCGGTGGTGCATCGGTTGGTGCGCCGACCACTGAACCAGCCTTTCTGAGTGCGATTCCTGGCGACGGCTAACGTCATTGCCGAGATGTGAACCGTGGGACCGCAGATTTTCTGTTCCCCTCTTTCCTTGTTGCGGTTTGCGCTTTGTACCGGGCACGCGTTGAATGGAAGGGTGGAAAACGATATGTTACAAAAAAAACGATATGTATTGTAGTTGCAGCAATTCGGAGACAAGGGTTTCCAGGAGGCACCTTCTTTATGAACACCTCCACACTTCACAGGTTCGCCCTCGCACTCTCCCGAGTCGTCTAGCCTCGCCTAAACACAACCCTAACCGTGTAACACTGACGGGGCTGACCGAGACAGCCAACAACTATCCAGCGGCGCAATATCTAGCAGCGACGACGAGACGAGTTCACTCCCAGATCCGGCAGCCCCGAGCTCCCGCTCTCAGCTGCTTTTATGCCACCCGGCGCGGCCTGGCTCCGCCCTGGCCGCGCCTCCCTTCTAGAACCCACTCGCAGGTTCCAGGGGCTTCCAGACGGGGGTCTTCTATGACCCTTGACCCCCCAGTTCCTCCGCCCTGCCGACACACAGCCGCGTATGCGCTCACCGGCGTGTGTACTGTCTGTCCACTGCAGTTGCCGCTGCTGGACAGTATAAAGAAACGACATGTATATATAAAAAAACTGGACATGTATTAAAAAGACGATACGTTTAAAAAAAGAGGATGTGTATGAAAAAAAACATCATTGGCGAGTGATATCTGAACCAGTCCTGCCGCAGATCCTCTCATAGATTCGCACTGCCCAGAGTAGAGAAGTATGGTCGAACAGCCGCATCCAGTGGTGTATTGGACAAAGGGCTTGTTAATAAATGTCGTTGTTGGACTTGTTCTCCGCTGCTCTGGTACGTTAGACTGTGTATTATACTCGTATGCTGTAGTAATACCATAATCATCATCTCTTTTCATATCCGTGATCAACGGTGTACATTGATGAAACATCGTCAGCTGCAACAGCGTCTGCAACCTCACCCATCACTGTTGTGTTTACGCGTGGGAAATTCCTCTTGGCAGCCTGTCCCTGTTGCGACGCCAAATGCGCACAGGACGGGTCTGGCAAGGGTCGATAGATCACGTAAAGATCCGTGACATTCCCGTGGCAGTACAGCAAATGGGTTTGTGAATCGGTCTTGCGTGATATCCCCTCGTATGCGTGGTGGGCTTTCTCGAGTGAATCCCGTTTCCCGGCACATGCAATACGCCCCTTATTAAAAGAGTAATTGGCCAGAAATTCCCAGGACTTTACCGACAAGGTATTTGGGGTCAATGGGATTTTCCTGTTTAAGAAGAACAACAACAACAAACAACACAGCAACAGAACAACAACAGCAGCAGGCTTAGGAGTCGTGTTAGCAATAGTCGCATCAGCAATAGCAGCAGCATCGACAACAGCGCCATAATCAGCAGCCGCAACCAACGTGGCATCGGGATTGCTTAGATGTCGTCAGTCCGCGGCTCTTTAAGCACGACTTCGTGACGTTATTTACGAAGGACCACCACCGTCTCGTATTCACCACCACGGTCCATTGCGGCTCTTGAAATGTTGAGAGGTTTTCTTATACTGTACCGAATTCGAACAAAAAATGCACTTTTCGATTTAAAGCTTTCGTGACTGCAATGATTCATCTTCTTTGGTTCTTTCGGTAAAGTCACGTAGAATGAGAATAAAATAATAAATTTATAAAATAAAATAACACAATAATATTCTCACGACGTTTCGGCCACAACACAAGCGGCCTTCATCAGGTGAAGGGGGCGAGACTGTCTGGTAGGACAGCGCTGGAGTGAGAGAGCCACGTTCAGATCACGGCTTTTAAGCTGTGTGAGAGGAACAAAGAGCCTTGACAAAGGGATTAGCATAAAATTTAGCATTGAAATGGCTGAATGATTAGCTTGTGACTGGTCACAGAAATAGCTATGTTAAAAGTTAAAGCATACACATCCGCAGAGGCCCCCATTGTTAAAAGGAATTAGCATAGAATTTAGCATTGAAATAGCTAAGTTAAGGCATACACATCCGCAGAGGCACCCCTTGACAATGGGATTAGCATAGATTTGTACTAAGTGCCTCGGTGAATGTGTATGCTCTGACTTCAACGTAACTATTTCTGTAGCAGTTACAAGCGAGTCACTCAGCCATTTCAATGCTAAATTCTATGCTAATCCCATTGTCAAGGGGTGCCTCTGCGGATGTGTATGCCTTAACTTAGCTATTTCAATGCTAAATTCTATGCTAATTCCTTTTAACAATGGGGGCCTCTGCGGATGTGTATGCTTTAACTTTTAACATAGCTATTTCTGTGACCAGTCACAAGCTAATCATTCAGCCATTTCAATGCTAAATTTTATGCTAATCCCTTTGTCAAGGCTCTTTGTTCCTCTCACACAGCTTAAAAGCCGTGATCTGAACGTGGCTCTCTCACTCCAGCGCTGTCCTACCAGACAGTCTCGCCCCCTTCACCTGATGAAGGCCGCTTGTGTTGTGGCCGAAACGTCGTGAGAATATTATTGTGTTATTTTATTTTATCAATTTATTATTTTATTCTCATTCTACGTGACTTTACCGAAAGAACCAAAGAAGAAAAAATGCACTATTTGTTATTTTGATTTCCGACCCCTGGGCTAGGCTGCAGCAGAAGCGGATACAGAAACATCAGCAATGCTGTAGCCGTAAAAGTATCATAATCATTCAACCTGACAAGTCATCATCATCAGCAGCAGCAATAGCATAAGCTACAGCATCATCAGCAATATCATAAGCTACAGCAGCAATAGCATAGGTCACAGCAGCAGCAGCAATAGTATAGGCAACAGCATCAGCAGCAATAGCATAAGCTACAGCATCAGCAGCAATAGCATAAGCTACAGCATCAGCAGCAATAGCATAGGCAACAGCAGCATCAGCAGCAATAGCATAGGTCACAGCAGCATCAGCAGCAATAGCATAGGTAACAGCAGCAGCAATAGCATAGGTCACAGCAGCATCAGCAGCAATAGCATAAGCTACAGCATCATCAGCAATAGCATAGGTAACAGCAGCAGCAATAGCATAGGTCACAGCAGCATCAGCAGCAATAGCATAGGCAACAGCAGCAGCAATAGCATAGGTCACAGCACCATCAGCAGCAATAGCATAGGCAACAGCAGCATCAGCATCAGCACAAGGAAGAAAAGCGGAGCTGCGCTGGCGTGGGCGGAACCACGCACCCCCAACCTCCTGGCTCAGTCCCTTCACATCCTCCACTCAGGGTGTAGGCGACTTAGTGAGAGCGAGCGAGCGAGAGAGATCGCCTACATTTTTGGTTGGACGAGGGAGAGCAAGCTCTAAGAGCTACAACTTCAACAGAGAGGAGACGAGAGAGCGAGGGAGAGCGAGAAGGGAAAGCCTTGAGCGCTCCAGAAGTGAAGACTCAAGGATCACCCCGGGATCGGCCATGGCGGTAAGGGACGAAGGATGGGAATGTTTGGAGCAGCGGTTCTTACCTAACCTTTACTACAGCCTTGCACCCCTTTGGTTCTTGATGAAGCAAAGTAGTTGTACTTACGTGGCCGTGCTTAACTTGTCTTTTCGATTATTTACCTACTATAAAAAAAAATCAGGCCATGTCTCGCACCCCCACCCCACCCCAGAAAGAGCATCTCGCACACCTAGGGGAGCGTACACCCCAGGTTAATAAGGGCCGTACTGGGTCTAGAACCAAATATATGTTGCGGAAGTTGATTCAGCGCGTGGGTGGATTTTGATCGGATCTTGCGAGTTATATCAGCGGTGGGCGATTTGTAATTCAGATGCCCTCCGAGAATCCGTTAATAATGATACACTTTGTCCTGGAAAGCCTTACTGAGTCTCAATACCCCTTTGAAAGGAGGGTCGTGCTACATTGGAATGTTTGGACAAATTTTTTTTTTACCGTACGAGAGTTTTGGAAGAAATCGGAAGACGCGGAAAACAATAAAGTAATAAAAAAAAAGTACGAGGATGGAGCAGACACAAAAGCTCCACGCGTGTTAATTTAAAGAATTCACCGCTGGAACTGCTGCTAACTTTTTATCCCAAACCTCTAACGCCACCCAGTCACGCTTCTGCGTGAGCCAGACTCGCGGTTTGTTGGACTTCCGAGATCCAACGAGAGACGAAGGCATTCCGGGCGAACCGCCTCGAGTCGTGCGCGACAAAAAGTTGGGAAACAAGACGCTCGGATCTCTGAATTTTTAATGGATCAATGAATACGTTTAAAAAAATGTTTACGTAATTTTTAGTGGCAGAGCGCGTATTACTGTGTTCGTGATGAAATCCGAATTGTTGGTTACAGAAGTAGTGGGAATTTCGTTATATATATGTTTTTTTACATTATTAATTCACATTTTCTGGTTCGGGTGCGTCCATATTTACAGGGGTCGTTCGGAATGTTTGTTTCAACTTTTTTTTAATCCAAAATAAACACGCGAGGGATGGGGGGAAAAAAAGATGAGGGGTTGGTAATCCCTAATTAATGAACTACAAATGTTGTGCTGTGGCCCAGATATTAATAGAAAATACCATACCTCCCAACGTAAAAGCACAGTACAGCACATCAAGCAATCTTGCTGTACTGTATCCTCTGCTGGCCGGTAACCGTAGCTTCCCCCTCGCACATATTGGATTGAATCATTGCTGCTTATCAAACAATTATGAATGATTTCTGCTCTCAGACAAAGATCCACCATATAGCCTTAACAGACTGTTGTGGTACAGTGAGGGAAAAAAAGTATTTGATCCCCTGCTGATTTTGTACGTTTGCCCAATGGCAAAGAAATGATCAGTCTATAATTTTAATGGTAGGTTTATTTGAACAGTGAGAGACAGAATAACAACAAAAAAATCCAGAAAAACGCATGTCAAAAATGTTATAAATTGATTTTCATTTTAATGAGGGAAATAAGTATTTGACCCCCTCTCAATCAGAAAGATTTCTGGCTCCCAGGTGTCCTTTATACAGGTAACGAGCTGAGATTAGGAGCACACTCTTAAAGGGAGTGCTCCTAATCTCAGCTTGTTACCTATATAAAAGACACTTGTCCACAGAAGCAATCAATCAATCAGATTCCAAACTATCCACCATGGCCAAGACCAAAGAGCTCTCCAAGGATGTCAGGGACAAGATTGTAGACCTACACAAGGCTGGAATGGGCTACAAGACCATTGCCAAGCAGTTTGGTGAGAAGTGACAACATTTCGATTTAAAGCTTTCATGACTGCAGGGATTCATCTTCTTGGTTCTTTCGGTGAAGTCACGTAGAATGGAAATAAAATAATAAAAATAAAACATAATAAAATAAAATTCTCACTTTATTATGTTTCATTTTTATTTTTTTATTTCCATTCTACGTCACTTTACCGAAAGAACCAGGAAGAAGGTGACAACAGTTGGTGCGATTATTCGCAAATGGAAAAACACAAAATAATTGTCAATCTCCCTCGGCCTGGGGCTTCATGTAAGATCTCACCTCGTGGAGTTGCAATGATCATGAGAACGGTGAGGAATCAGCCCA